AATATTGTAAGGAAAATTTTATTATATCAGCTTCAAAATACCCAAAGATACATTGAAATGTCTTTATTTTGCACTTTTAAAACAAATATAGGTAGATAAAATTACAGCACTTTAAACTAGGTACAATAAAACAAGAGCTAACTGAAAGGGGGATAGTTTAAAATATGTAAAATACTTCCTTTTGGTTTGAGACAAATATCTATTAGCGGCTTATCACCTATGTACTAAAGTTTTCCCCGCTGAAATTAGACAAAAGATTTTTAAAAATAAATTATGCACAAAATTAAGAAATAACCTAAATAATAATGCCATATGCTTCTCTTTAGACGAGACTGGACATGATCCAGCAAACAAACCGTTTTTACGATTTTACAGGACTACTATCAAATAATAATATTGTATCTTATACTATAATAATAAAAACAATTTATTTACACTCGATAAAGTGCCTAAATACCTTAATGATTTCATCTTCGACGAGGACTACGACGTGTTTATGCTGTAATCTCTCGGGACTCTAGTACTGCGTTGCTATGGGTAGGGTAAGGTGGTGCACAGTGTGACAAAAAAGATAAATCTTACTATAAATCTGAAAATATTTATTAAAGGAACTTTCTATTAGTCTTTAAATAATCAACAGTTCCTAAACTATCATTTGACAACGAAAAACAATACCAAAAATCACTAGAAGTATTTTTAATTTGCACATTTTTGAGATCTGTCGATAGTAAAACTTGTTTATAATAATAAGATTTATTGCACATTATATTTAAAATATTTTAGGAGAAATATAAAGTTCAGCTTGTTGTTTTGTAAGTTTTTTGCACTTTTCAAGCTCGGGTAAAACAATTTCTACATCTTCTATTCCAACTAACGCCAAATCTGGCTCAAGCGGGAAATAAAAATAGTTATCAACCTTCTTGCTTTTATGTAAGTAGCTTACATCGTAAGAATCATCACTGCTTTTCAAGAGTTGTGACATAGTCACATAGTGCCCCGTCACACTGTACCCCAGGCTCAAAAAAAACAAACAATCATAGGAAATAATTTGTAGGTAACGATATCGGCAAACTATCTATACGCGTATTTATATACAAGGTGTTAGGAAAACGCTTCCGAATCTTTAACATGGTTATTATACCATATTAATGGAGTCCTACAAAAATATTTGTTTACTTGAATAATTAGTATTTAACGAAATCGTATTTTCTAAGCACGCAATGTAAAACGTACAAATACACGGGTGAACGACCGCGCGGCGCGAGCGCTTATGATAGTTGCACACATGCATAAACGAGCTCACACAAACACACACAGAGACGATCGTAAGTACTACGTACTACGTAAAGTAATTTATTACAATAACCTTTAATTTTATTATAAGTAACGATTAATTTAACCAGTTAAACTTAACATCATGATTTTTATTGTAATGCAAAAACGTACTTACCTGTTCATGTTCTCCGCGGTCTAACTAAGTGTGGCTCGAATTGTGCCCCATTCATCTCCTCAACATCATCTCAACAACATTCCCATCATCTCAACACAAATTCGAGCCCGTCGCCGCGTCTCTTCGTGAAGTCGAGGCATGAGAGTTGAGTCCTCGATACAACTCGTTCTTATTGTCTCGAATGCACTCACAATTCTTGCCCGCATTTCCTCAGCACTGTCACAAACTCTATTGAACACTTTTTCTTTAACACACCCCCACAAAAAAAAGTCCAAAGGTGTCAAATCAGGAGATCGTGGTGGCCAGGCTTGCGGTCCTAATCGCCCGATCCAACGGTCACCAAATAGTTCAGTGAGACGCTCACGTACCGGCCGTACCACATGCGGCGGTGCGCCATCGTGTTGAAACCAAGCCCTTCTTAGCTCAGCTAATGATATGCCTTCAAGAATTTCATCAAGGCTCTCATTAATGAACCTAAGATACCCAGCTCCGTCAAGTCGTTGTGGTAGAAACACCGGCCCAAAGATAACATTGTTGAAGACGCCAGCCCAAACGTTGACCGACCATCGGGTTTGGTGGCCAGTCTCTTGAGTGGCACGTGGATTGGTTTCAGACCATAAATGTGAATTTCGTCTATTCCACATGCCGTTCCTTGTGAATGTAGATTCATCTGTCCAGATAACATGCTGAATAAATCCTGGAAGACGCTGTTGTTGATCCAACAACCAACGGCAGAAAGTGCGACGACGGGGTAGGTCTTCGGGTATCAAAGCTTGCACTTTATGAATTTTGTAAGGCCGCATTCTGTTTCTTCGCAAAACTTTGTACACCGTCCAATGTGAAACTGAGGGCCCATTTGGCCGCTGCAGTAACTTCGCAGCAGTCCTCGTGCCCAACCGGGGGTTGCGTTGGATCACATCGAGAATACGCTCCTCGGCTGCAATGTCTATTGGTCGCCCACCGCCGACCGCCACCGGAACGATCGGTTGATTCTCCAACAGTCGTTGAAACGCAGCAGTAATGGTTCGAGAGTCTCCTGGATGATGCACATTAGGAAATCTTTCCCGGTAAATTCTCAAAGCTAGAGAAGCATTGCCACGTGCTTCTCCTAAACACATAACCATGTTCCCATACTCACGAGCACTGTACACATACGCATTAGGCATGATGAGATGCACTTATTGTCTAATAAAACTTAAAATAAACACTAAATAAATAAACCTCACACGCTCAACTAAAAACTATGATAACTAATTTAACGAAATAAACTTTAAAATACGCATTCGCAAACCGAGATGGAAAGTTTTTTGCCACCGGTCGGCCTCATGCCTCGCTCATATCAAAGAAGCCGCGATCATTCGTTCTTCAGTTCTTCCTACTGAATATTCGAGTGTTGCAACTTTTTCACCAAATTCCCAAAATTGTTTTAGAAATGAAATCTGCAATTGAATGGATTGTGCATTACGTGTTCGATCAAATTTATGTTTTAACATTGTGAATTATTACAAGAACTGATATCGTAAGTAATTTTTAATAATACCGAAATAAACCAAATGAAAATTGTCTGAAAGTGTACGCTATACTAAATTATTTTTATGACAAAATAAGTAAAATGTTTGAAAGAATGTTGTGCATCATTAATAATTGTTTTCACCGTATCCTAATAAATAAAAGTAAGACAGAGAAATTATTATCCGGGTACCGTTTTTGTTAACCGATTGGCAGGAACATTGGCTAACGTAACTTAACCAACCTTATTTGCGACGCTCTTAACTTATTGTTATACGAATAAATTTTTAAAAGTGATTAATGTTATTTCAATAACATCAACTTCAATTTAAAAAAAAAGTATTTTAATAATACCATGTAATCAAAAATATTAAAAAGATAGATAGATATTTAAAAGATAGCTTACCTTTCTTTAATATCATACAATTTTTATGGGATTTATCCCGTAAAAAAATTACCCAATTAAGGGAAAAAATTAGAGCTGGCAGCACGTGTAGCGGCAGCATGTCTCAGAAACCGGAAGCGGACGGACCGGAAAAGTGAAGCGGCATCTTTTATAAACACACTCACCGGTCACTGCAGTTCGCAATGATATCTAGGGCTGCCACTCATTTCACTTAGCAACTTTAATAGTAATTAATTATGTGTTTAGATTTATAAATAAAGTTTGTCGTAAAAGTACTAAGTGAAGTTTTACAATTCAACATCGCGTTTAATCATGAATAACCCGATAGGATTATACTATTGGGTTAGTCATGGAAAGTAAGTATTTATTAAGAGAAACAACTATTCCGCTTTTTTATAGTTTTCAAATTGAAACAAGAGAAATAATTATGCTAAAATTGAATCGGGAAAAAATTCAATTGGGACTCCCAATAGTTTTTCATAAAGTTTACTTTTTTAATGATTTCACACACACACACACACACACTTCTGGAGAAATGAAGTTTCTTATACATTTAGATTTTGATGAAATAAAAATGATTTAACACCTTCCCCTCATTTTAATGAAATGTATTTATCTGATCTTTTTGTGTTTTATAAAACCTAAATAAATTACTATGCGAGTTAAAAGATATCGTTATTAGTTACATGCTCTGAATAAAATCAAATTATTTTTGTCTTAAACTTTTCTGCGCTAACGTAAAAAAAACTCATTAAAATAAAGCTCACATTTTAAAGACAAGTAAATAAAAAAGTGCACTTATCAAAATCATGTAATGTAAGTTTTATTTTTAAAAATTTACAAAGATAAAAATTTTGTAAATACTAGAGTTACTAAACCGTTTTGAAATGTTTAGTCGAAACAAATGTTTTCCAGAAGAACATGCATTTTATCTAGAAGGTTATTCAAAAACGATATTTAGTCATTAAAAAGTGGCACCCCTTAACACGGAAACACTACCGATTGATTTTGCTTTACACTACTAGATGGCGTTGCATCTATCATTCTCATTCGCTATATCATCAAAACCGCCGCGATTTGCCGCTAGATGTATCTAGAAGTTTACGAGCTTGGCCTGCAGTATCTTCGCTCTCGTTTTTACTTATTGTTATTGCGTGAAAGGGAATGATCATCAATAAATAACAATTTGAAAAAATAACAAAACGCCGTTTTAAAACTACTTTTAGTAATTGCGTTTTCATTGCATTTTCTTAATAAAACACAGGAAAATGGGTACCTAAACTAGCAACGTAGAGAACTAAGAGCTTTTCGTCGCTAGATGTCGCTGAAGTTTCTCACTCGTATCTTCTGTCTCTTTTCATTCTACCAGTGGTGAAGGAAAAAGAATGAAAGTGCCCTTCGAACGTACCAAAGGTTATTGAACTCTCGGGGTCGTCTACCGCCGATCAGCTGATTTTTTCGAGTTTTAATTACATTGCGTTTTTATGGAAAATCAATAAATAGACAAATTTATTGATGAAAAATAGTAATACTTAACTTATTTTACATCGCTAAAAATGAAAAAAAAATAAAAATAACATATTTTTTTTGAAAAATAAAGTAATCATTTTTTCATTGCAATGTATCCAGAATCACTTACTCTATCACTGGTTTTCGTTTTCGGAAGCGTTCCCCTAACACCCAGTATACATCGATCAACGCCTTAGAACGAAAACAATACTGGCAGTTTATAAGAAAAAATTGGCCGAAAATACTTTTTTCGTTAAATTTCTGCAGCGTGCAAGAATCCAATTGTTCCAAGGTGGCATCTGATGCGCTTGTCTGAAATCTGTCTAAGCGATAACGATATGGTAAAAAAAGACGGAGATATTGAGAATGCCACACTGTGCCCACCTTACCCTACACGTTAAGTCTCACCCCCGCACCTCTATTGAGACCAAATAAAGTTTGCTAATGTTCAGGTTCAATAAAACTACAGTTAAGAGAATCATCATTTATTTAAAATTATCATTTTAAAGCAAATATTGTACTTTACATAAGCGGACATCATTGAACTATTATTATAGTAAAAAACAACTCAATATTTTATTCATATAAATCAATTATAGTTTACAAAGAAAAAAAAAATAGAGACTACGGAAAACAGAATTATTTATTATTAAATAGTTTCATATTATCAGTATCAGTGTGGTAAAGCTTTTTGTCTCGATGACTTCAATAGTATATGTTAATATGGATACGACTTCAAAACCCACGTATTTGTGTTGTCTACAACTTTAATAAACTAAATAGTGAGTAGCAGTAACTATAGTTAGTTTAATTTTGAATGAACATTATCTACAATATTTTTTATTATTGTATTTTAATAATATTTAAATATCAAGATCGAAGGCGTATCCATGCTTAGAAAACATGCTGATTGCTAATAAATAATTAATATATAAGTCTATATTATCGTCCATCAATTAACTACTAGGGTGTATAAATAAACAATAATTCTATTGAAGTCTTCCACAGTTAGATGAAAAAATATGTATACACTTTAACGTCACTCTAATTGCAAACAGGGTAAAGTGAAAAATTATACACATACATATTTTTAGAATTGATCAACTATAATGAGAGTCCGTGTGTTTTTGTGACATTTTAAGGCTAAGCAGACCATTTTTTATCAATAATACTAATAGCATAACATTTTAAAGTGAACGTCTTCATAAGATGTATCTAAGCAGATTCAAATAGGAATATTTAAAATAAGTTATTCAAATTATAAATTATTTTTCTAACACTGAAGAAGTAATACTGTTACATCTTAAGCATATAGGTGTTAGTACAGAATTATTTAATTTAATGTGCAATGATTCATAAATCACACTATATATATATATATATATATTTTAAGTTTTTTTCTATTTTTTTTTAATTAGTAATTTAAAAAAATAGTTAAGGTAACTAAACACAAACTGAGATCTTCTAATTATCTAGTTTCTTTTCAAATCAATAGGAAAAATAACGTACGCATATATACGCATGAATTTTCAAATACAGGGTTACATTCAAATACAAATAATTAAAAAAAAAACAAACAAACATAATATTTTAATAATTCACTTTTGAAATCGCTATTATATAAAAACAGGAAGAAACATCACGACATTACTATAAAATTTATTTAATAAAAAAAAACTTTTTCATTTATTTATTTTTTATTGTTATAATAGCAGACCTAATGCCAATAAGGAATTATCTAACAATCAACCGTTGAGGACGTACAATCAACAACACGTCAAACTATACAAAAATGTAATATTTCCCCACTCGATTTTAAACCTTAAAACATTTTCAGTAGTGGTCAAAATCAATGGCAGCAATTTTATATAATGTGGAAACCTAACTTGTGGCCGTGTGTAAAAAAACATTTAAAAGGCGGTATCGATATAAGAGAATATTTTCTAAGATTGATATTTTGATTTTCTATTAATATTAATAGATTTATACTAAAACACCACTAATATGTGTGTACAGATGTACCCGCGCATTATAAAAGTGTGCGCTTGTCAAATGTTAATTAAAAGCCCCATTTTATCCCCACTCTATTCTATTGTTCCATCTGCGTTCTCAAACATTCCATTGAACATTCTAATAATGCTCGTTCGCTTGGTGTAAACGACACTAGAGAGTGTGTTCCAGACATTAAAGTACATATCTATCTATCTATCTATCTATTACATAAGCATTCGTTTGAACTAAACGTTGTACAGAATTCTAGTTCTTGATTCGAGACGCATCAGAACAAGAAATACTGCTCTTGTTCTTGCTCTAGCTCAGAGGATCCCAATTTTTTCTAGTAGAAGCATTTAAAAAAATTTACTGGTTCCGGTGGACCCCCTGCTGCTTCCCAAAATTCGTACAAAATGTGAAAACCTAACGATTGACGTCGCGGGTGAGTTCCAACCCAACGATGACCCCTGTTGAATCCCTTGTGGACCCCTGGGGGTGCACCTGGACCACTAAGGGAATCACTGCTCTAAATCTTTGTTCGTATGCACCTTCAGAATGGTTCGACTGTCGCGCACATTCATTACATAGTGCACAGTATTATACATCTTACCGTTATTGACAATAAGACTCATAAACAAACGAAACACATTACATCTTATTAGTTGAGTTTGACTATATTTGTAATAATAAATATATAATAAAAAATGTGCGTCTAAAAACGTATCTATATTTAAATTAACTGTCAGAATTAAACTATTTTTTTTTAATTTATTGAAAACTAAGGTCAGCCACGACATCTTAGAAGCGCCAAATGTAATAAAAAATACGTGAAAATATAGAAGTGAAATTATATCAAAGTAACTGAAGTCTGAAATATCTTGGTACTTCTTCAATTTTCTCTCATCATCAGATTATTAATGTGCCACACTGGATTGGAATCAAATCGTTTAGCCATGGCCATGACCCACGCGGTCCCAGTGCAAATAGGTGGGTGTTGACGACTTCAGATGATGAGCTCAACGGCTTAATGTGCCACGAAGCATGGAGGAGTTAGAGACAACTAATTTCTTGGTACTTTTTTGGTAGTCCGCATCAATTTATCTAACTACAAACAACTAAATAAATTCCGAAGAAATAATGCCAAGACCTTTTTATCGCATTGGGCGCTTCGATTATACCTTTGGCTATACTAACATCAGACTAGGTTATATAACACCGTATAATTAATATAAAACCTTGATATGTGAATAATTGAATTCAAAATTGAAGGCGGAAAAACATTTTCGGTTACCCGACGAACAGATGTATATTAGTTATAATAGTTCAATTAATAGAGTGAAAATTGTCTTTTATCTACACTCAAATCGAAAAATTCGAATTACGAATCGCACTTTATAAACGCATATACATAATATTAAAAATAAAACTCATAGTGCCGCCAACTGTAGCATAAAGCTCATTATAGTACCGCTATCTTTTTTTATTCATCAAACTAGTCTATGGTTTTAGGCTGAATATAAAATGATACGCACGCATGCGCAGGATATTCGGTCGATTCATTCGGTTTACAATTTTTTTTTGCCCCGTAAACCGGTTTGTAAATAAATGTTACTCTATAGTGTAATGCTTTATTTTATGAGCTTTATTGACCACATTCTTCGTAGGTTTTCTTTGACTTATAATATCAAATTTATCTTTCATATGAAGTTTTGTCTTTTAGTTCTATTTCGTGTCGAGTAACCAAGTAATTACTAAAATATATTCGGCACCGAAATATAATAATTTGGCCGAATACAAAATCGTAAAAATATAATAAACGCATCATGAATATGAAAACGAATTCAAACTATTACATGTCAATCTTGATAAGAGAGGTAATAAAAATAGGCAAAAAAATACCTTGAGTCAGAGAGGTGATGTTTTCTTATATAATAAATTATAATAAATAAGAAATAAACTAATAATTTATATAATTAAATCATATTGCACATCGTTTGGAAGTAAGTCGATTATCTCTAAACATTTTGTCTTAATAATATAAAGGTTATATTTAATTCTCAAATTTTTCTACTTGATTTTAAACCTTAATATATTCAGAATACGGTTCAGAATCAATTGAAGAAAGACTTAAAGGTGTGCATTAATTTTTATACAAGAAAATTAGGGGAAAGAAGATGCACGAAACAACAGAAAATATATATAGATGAAATAGTAATAGTAAGACAAAATGTTTTGAAATATACATAGAGCCTTAAGGCTTATATTCGTTGGAACCTTTGAATTGTAATCCTCATGTTCAAGGTACGTATGGAAATACTTGTGTGACACGGCCGATGGCTCTGAAAGAAATAAGGAAACTTTCAAAGCAATTCATGTTAAGCGTCTATGAAAGTCGCAATTGCTGTTAAAACTACTGATGTTTTGAATGATCAAGGTACATAGTAAAAATTTATAAAATTAAACTATTTTGGACGTTTCGGATCCTTTACAGATTTTGTACTTAGTTAAGTGAACATAGAACCTGATTTAGTCTTAAGACTAAGATGTGACTAAGACATAAAATCAAAGGGAGCAATAACTTTTTGTCGAAATTTTATTCGCCAGTTCTACTCAGACAAGATTCCTAAATTAGGAACTGATGATAATGAGGAAGTATTTAAAAAAAAAAACATTAGTTCCCGAAATCAAACTAGATGTCGCTACGGTACGTTCTTGATTTCCCCACGACAACCCTTCCGGTTTACTTTCATGTATAAAAGTAGATTAGTTCTCAAAACTCAATAAACAACTCATATTCTATTTGTGCTTTTCGTATTTGTATTGATATCTAAGTTTCGAACTTTGCAAATTTCAGATTTTTAATATTTTAGTTACAAAGAACGGAGATGACTGTCTTTAGTACATTCGTTTCCTGCAAAAGTCAACTTTTGCTAGAGTCGCCATCTAGTGGAGGTGCTTTTTTAGTGCTTTCTTTTTTTCTTCAAATACTTCCTCATTAACGATAGTCAGGTGTAAATTGAAATAAGTTAAACATTTAAAAACTGCGCCATTAAAGAAAATTAAAGATGTTATTTATACTAGAAAGAGTTAAAACAGTGCCGTTAGAGAAGTTAACACGCAACTTGACCGCCAGATGGCGTTGTTGTAAGAAAACGTCAGAATTGTGTTTTATAATGATTTAAAAACTATGCCGTTATAGAAGTTAATACGAAACTTGACCGATAGATGGCGTTGATTTAAGGAAAGGTCAAAAGAGTTTTCGACTCACCTGGTTCCCTGGCCGGCTGCTAGAAGCAATCTGCGACCTCTCTGAATATATTCAGGACATCGGGTCAGACGGAAAACTAGGGCTGCCCATCCGCCGGCACGGACTAGACTGTTTCTAGATAATATGCCCTAAATAAAAAACAAAAATATATTATTGATCTGTATACGAGCCCGTCTCATCATCATCAGCACCTTTATGTCCCCACTGCAGGGACTCAGGTCTTCCTTATAGATGGTTAAGGAGGATGGGCCATGACCCTCCACGCTGGCTGTATTAACGACTGCAAATGCAGCCGTGACCAACGGCTTAACGTGCCATCCGAAGCGCTGAGTGGCTCGAGATAATTTCCGGTCACCCATCCCGTGGCCGACCATCGCGAAAGTTGCAGAACAATAACTATAGCCGCGGCAGCGTATCCAATACGCCACCGAGCAACTCCCGCCTTGGCTCGCATAAATTATAGCCAATGTTACCTTATAATCCAGTAGGTACTCGTAGATGAAAAAAAATTCACAATCGCATAAGTATTTATTTAAGAACTATCTTTCCGCCAGCGGCTTCGCCAGTGGTCTTGTATTATACATAAAAACCTTCCTTTTGAATCACCCTATCTATGAAAAAAGACCGAATCAAAATCCGTTGCGTAGTTTTAAAGATTTAAGCATACTTACAAATATAGGGACAGAGAGAGCGTCTTGGTTTTACAAAGTTAGAAACTCTACCCATTTATGATATTAATATAAGTGTTATTATGCCGAAATGACACTTCGTACCAACTAACTTTATACTAATATTATAAAGAAATAGTTTGTTTTGTTTACAAAGAACATGTACCGAAAATACTGGACAAATTTTAAAAATTCTTCGACTAACGGGAACCGCCTTCCATTAATCACGTGAGGCTCGAAAGGAGAGGGGAAGGGTTTCTTAAAAATCACGAATTATCACAAGGGGGTGGGTAATTATCACATGTATTTATCTTTTTCTCGACTACAATTAATAAATTATCGAAGATTTTTTTGTTGGTAATAAAAAATACACGTGATTTGGGGGGAGGAGAGGGGGTTAGTCTTAACCTCACTAAGGAGGAGGGCGACTAAAAAAACTGAAAAAAACACGTGATTAATGGATGACCCCATATTGCGATGGACGTAGGATATATATTTACACCGAAAACAGCAAATAAAGTTCGTTTAGGGAATTAAAATGTTACCACAGTAACCATTGTTTACTATTAAATTTGTCATTGTAATTATATCCGTGTCGTATGAATCGATATCCAAATAAACAGTTCCCTAGGGAACTTACGCGGGCGAAGCCGCGGGCGGAAAGCTAGTATATTATTTAATAAATTACCTCTATAATAGCAGTTTGACGCACGTTCCCGATATGAACGGTACATTGGAAACCAGGATATATTGCTGTCGAGTGTCTCAATACATGAACTGAGGCCTGAAACAAAACATTAAAATATTTTAAGGGTTCCAAAAGCGCCTGGCCGCCATTTTGATGACGTAATTGCGTTCAAAAATCAGTACCGTTAGCAAATAAACACGTCGCGTTGAGATCACACATCGTTTTTGTTGGTTTCGATTGTTTTTGTTAAGTTTTGTTGTTATGGGTCACTAAAATAGCAACTGCTATTATAATTTTCACAATAAGTAAACATAAACTCACTAATAATAAATATGTCTATGTCTCTCATTTCATTTTTACTTTTGGTTATGTTTAAAAAATGTCCTTTCCTTTTATCATCGCGTAACTACCAACTAAATCTTATTTTTTTAATATTTTTTCTCAATATTTACATTTTTATTGATAATTTTCCAAAAATTCATACAATAAACAAACTAAAAGTTGTAAAACTTGTAATCGTTGGGTGTTGTGTAAAACTTGTAATAGTTGGGTGATGAGTTGGTGTTGTGTAATGTTTTGGGTGTTATTCATAAATAATTCAATAATTAATAAATAATGTATCTCTCTTTTTTGTGCTATCCATACTTTATTTTTTTTATGACATCACGTGGGTGTTATGAAATTTTATATGAAATTTTGACTAATCAAATATACTCTTAAAGAATGTCAGAGATTGTAAAAAAAATATCATCTGTTGTAAACATGTAAATCACACATATTGTAAATTGTATAAATTGAAATATAAAAATTTTATTAATTAAGATATGTTATTAAAATAAAATTATAAATAAAATAAAAGTACATCCTGAAACGTGGACGATCCAAGTTTTTATTAAGAAACCCAAAAAGGGTTTCTTTTCTTTGCCATTTATACCACAAAATAAATCCATTCTCAAGCTAGTCAGCCTTTTATTATTTGCCCAAGCATCGAACCTGTCACAAAGTTCCTATCGTATAATTCCTTGCATTAGCAATTTACGAGACTTATACTTTTACTATTTTTTCGTTTACAGATTTATAATAGATATGATGCCTGGATAAAAAAAAAAGATATACTATTTAGTCCTTTAGTCAGATAATAGAAAAATATTAGACCCGTATTTACTTGCTTCAATTCAACAAGAATATCATAAAGGCATTCAAGTTGAGGAGTGGGGGCTCGTTACGTCACAACTTTGTAGAAAACGTACACAAGCGTGACATCACGTGACATTTCAATATATTTTATAGCCGTGATTTATTGATTATACAAATAATAATGTACCTGACGGTCAGACAAATAAAAATTAGTCTTCATCCCTATTGCCCAAACGCCCATTAAAGGTTTAAAAATAATGTACCTGACGGTCAGACAAATAAAAATTAGTCTTCATCCCTATTGCCCAAACGCCCATTAAAGGTTTAATGACAACTTTGAGTTCTAATGGAAGGTTTAATCGTATCGGTAATGTCGCTTGACACGCTTCTTGTTACTAGCTCAAAATATAATAATCTGTTATCATTGATGTGTGGGGAAAACATTGCTCTAATAATATTGGGCTTTTTTTTTAATTCATTTAATTTTTAAGGGGTTTTTATTCTTTAGAACATGCCAACCCCATCATACCATACTAAAATCTAAATTCATTTAATAACAATATTTCACTAGGTAATTTTTTACAGCATTTACTACAGCTTATCTTAAATTTACGAGTAATATACATAGTTTTTGTGCAATGATAGACTTTGGTTCTGATGAAATACTTTGTATTAATCCTATATCTAAAACATTTAATTTAAATTATTTCATAAACGACTCCCTCTCATTTTTGTTTCTAATACACTCCATCAGCAAATGTTGTACATCTTCAATTTTATTGCAGACGTGACATTTATTTGAGTCAGTCATTTTCATATTATAATATTGGGCTTCAAATAGATATTACAATACGGGTGTACACAGTAAACGAAAATAAATACATACTTTTTTTTCTGTTAGTGGTTAATGTATTACCGATGGTAACACTTTTATGCTTATTATATTTATAATATTGCTTAACTAATTATGAAAAAAAGAAATATTTTTTACTTATTGTCACGTGACTGCAAATCTCTTACTCATATCAGTACTTACGACAAATAGGGATGATGACTGGGTAAAAAAAAATGCAATTCTATTTAGTCCGTCAGTAAGATAATAGAAAAATATTAGATACGTATTTTTTTTACTTCAATAACAATAACAAGAAATAGCTTAGATAACAGGCATTAAAGTTGAGGAATGGGGGCTCGCTACGTCACAGTTGAGTAGAAAATGTACTATAACGTGAAAGTCAATGTAACGCCGTAATTTTATGATTACGAAAAAAATACGTGTTTAATATTTTTGAACACTCTACCTGACGGACAAACAAATATAAATTAGTCATCATCCCTATTCAATCTTATGCATAGAACGATATTAGTTTTAGAAGGGCGCGACTTCATAGCGACGGCATGCCACAAGATGGCGTTTACACGGGAAATTTCGAAAATTAAATTTACTCTTATATATATTTCATGTGTATCTATAAAATAAAAATATTAAATACCTATGGTAACTTGCATAGTTGAGCTTCTATAAATAAGAGATTATTATCTGAACTTTAGCAAAACTGTAGCTCAATTATTTATTAAATAACCCTGTATATTCTTAAGATTATTATTTGAACTTTAGCAGAACTGAAGCTCAATAGGGAATATGCGTCTTATTCAAAAAAAGGTTAAATATATTTTATTACAATCGTTATTGCTTTAGAATAAAGTCTATCTAAATATTTTTCAATATAAGTTCGTTTTCGTCTTGAAAATAATTATTAAAAAGTGCGAAATAAATGCGGTAACTTCAAAATATTCAAACGCCATGGCCACTTGTCAGAGCGGATGTGACGAAAATGTACACGTATAGGGATGTCGTTGTTACAAAAAGTTGACATCGATGCAATAACATCAATGTATTATGTCGCAAAATAAACAACTGATTAACATTTAAATGATGTTTTAGGCTTTTATTTTTATTTCACCAATTAAGTAAATTATATGATTTATTAAAAAAATCTATTATACTTTAAAAATCGATTAGTTGTTAATCGCTTTAGGTAATTTAATAATAATCAATCACTCAAAACCTATATTAATTTAAAATGTCATATCTCTAGTCGTGTACTTTGACGTCACGATGAGAGCGCCAAATATTCCGGTGTTTAAACTGCTCATAGCAGTTACTTATTTTCATCAATTATTTATGTTACAAAATTTTAGTTTTTCGGTGCCGGGTATTTTTTTACAGTTATATATCAATGTAAATTATCATATAAAACCATTTTCCAAAATGTGCATATTCCCTATTATTTTATAAATAACCCTGTATATTCTCACCTGAAAGTACATGCAGCCTCTGGGGTCATTAGGATCTTCTAGAAGAACGGTATCACCGCATATGCAATCTTGGCTGTCGTCAATATTGTCTTTATCCCTATCGCTATCAGACCTGTGAAATCATTGAATAAATGTTAATACTATAACACCATCACACATGTTATTATTTATCAGAATTTTTTTTTTTATATTTATTTAGGAAAACAAACAGTCGTTTGCAATTGATATACAAACAAAACTTATTTAACTAATAGACCTGACAGTTCCATTACTAAATACGAGTACTAAAAAAAAATAATTTAATTGCTTATTATTAATAATAGATAACCTACACATCGAACAAACAGCTTTTCCACAACAATCTCAAAAACTCGCTCTTATTATTTATCCACACCAGCCCTTTTACGTCCCCACTGCAGGGGCTCAGGCCTTCCTTATGGATGGTTAAGGAGGATGGGCCATGCACCTCCACGCTGGCCCAATGCGGATTGGAGGGTACTAACGACTGCAAATGCAGCCGGGAGCAACGGCTTAACGTGCCTTCCGAAGCACGGAGTAGCTCGAGATAATAATTTTTCAGTCACCCATCCCGTGAACAACCCTCGCGAAAGTTGCTTAACGACAACGATCGCGGGCCGCGGGGCTTATCCAGTATGCCAACGAGCTCCTCAATATTTACTTCTAGGTTTTAATTTGGACTAATACTTTAATTGCAATTTTAGCGTATATTTACTCTGACGCTATACTTTGTTTATTAGTAGCACCGAAAAGGTTTACGATATCTGCCAGTAGACACAGAGGTCAACGTACGGAATTCCCTCTGTTCAGCGACCGGGTGTCTTATTTTAAAATCTATTACAACACCTTTCAAACTTATAGCGTTTGTGACTGCGATTAATGAATTATATAAATTTCAAAGTCACAATCGCTCATTGGCGGACTAAGGGGAGGAGGGGGATATCCGCCCCGGGCCTTCAGTCCTGGGGGCCTCCAAATGAGCTGCCACCATCCAATAAAAATCATAATATAATAATAAAATTAAAAATGTATGTGTTAACGTAATTTCAAGTTTCTCCCCTGTTTGGAAAAAGTTGTCGATCCGGGCCTATCGCCGGCCCGGGCCTCAGATGAAGTTAGTCCACCACTGCAATCGCTTTCGGAACGAATGATGATTTGAATGATAAAAATGTCATAAACAATTCATTTGTTTGGCATTTCCCAATCGCTCTCAAAGATATTTGTAGCTACCACTTTGCTTAGACAATTCCGATTAACGTCAAATAAACGTTATCAGCGTGAAGTTCGTGAATATCTCATATATGTCAAATTCAAAGGGATTGTGACAGATTTTAATATTAGACAAATAGGCCGCTGATTAATATCCTAAAGGCGTTTACACAAAAATGTTTACTCATGCCATAAAAAAAAATGACAATATAAATGGAAAACCAAACAGCAATCTGAAAAATGAAAGGTACGCTAAACACGGAGGAGGTAGATATACTAAATTTTCGGTCACCCATCCTAAGACTAGCCATATCGAAAGTGGCTTAACTTATACGCTAGCTTAGATTGATATTATCCTTACCGGTAAACGTTGTCTTCTAATTTGTCCACGATCTTCGCCCCAACACCTCTTTCCACATCGCTGTCCGAATTATATATATTAGGGTCCTTGTCTATGACTTTAACTAGAGAGCTCTCTACATTGTCTATGTCTTGTAACAGATTCCTGTTTTTCCTCCTCACGTTCTTTCTGTTCTTTGTGTTATTCTCTTTGGCATGAATACTGTTCAATACTATATCGGTAGCCTAAAAAGGAAGACAATACAATTTTAACATATCTTTCTGTCCCTATATCCGTATGTATGCTTAAATATTTAAAACTACGCAACGGATTTTGATGCGGTTTATTTTCATAGATAGGGTGATTCAAAAGGAAGGTTTGTGTGTATAATACAAGACCACATGAATTTAAATATTCAAACTTTTTTTATACACGCCAAAACGCTGTACGGCATATCTTTATGAATAATCTGACAGCTATCGCCATAGTGACGTCACACAATGGCGGGTCGTGTTTCAAGTCACGTGACAGACAATAAAAAAATATTTTAAGATAATCGTTTTGATTTAAAGATTCAAAATCAGTATCACTGTTTATTACGATGTAAATTTTAGCTTTTGAACAATTTCATGACTAATCTTTCTATAAAATTTGTTAGCCAATGTTTTATAAAGTTAATTTTTTTTTTTGTATTTTTGGCTGTGTGTATATAAATAAATATTATTTATAATATTTATTTATATACACATTTGTTTATATAATATTTATTTATATATAAATAATAATTGACACTTTATTTCTCACACATAATCCTATTATCCTATTAATATTATAAATGTGAAAGTTTCTTTGTTTGGATATTTAGATGTTTGGATGTTTGTCGGTCAATCACGCCGAAACTAATGAACGGATTTTGATGAAATTTGGTATACAGATAGGGTATTAGCTGACTTATTTATTTTATTTTGGTACAGCAACAGAAAACAAATCAAGATCACATGCTTACAATTAGGCATAATTAATTTATTTATTGCTTATTTGCCTTCCTATAACTGCTGCACACGACATTTAAATAGTACATGTATTATCAGTAAATATGACAATGAATGAAAAATAAATAAACTTAAAAATAAACAAGTTCAATGATAATAGAAAATTAAATCAAAAATTTAGCATAATTATTGAGAAATTTAGATACAGAAAATATAATCAAAATAATTATTACAATAACTGTTATATATATGTCGCATCATCATTACGAAGATCGTTTGATTTAGTTTCTTTTATTTTAATTGCTAGTTACTCGATTACTTAATTACTCGATTGTAAAGAGGGCGTGATCATCGATACTTTTAATTTTATTAGAATGGTGACACTGACTTTGACAGTTCGTTTATAAAAACCAAGTTGCCGCCATTTTGGCACACATTCTGTTTCCAAACGCCGAGGAGTAAAGACATCTGATGACATCACGCTCATCTCGTTATATTTTCGTAAGAAAAGTGATAAAATGGAACAAATCCACGTTGCCATACACGCCTGCAGTGTTATTTTAAAGATAGTCCTCCGATATGGACTATCTATTTGGGCTTCGTAATAGCCCATTCCGACTAGCCTCCGTTATATACATTATTATCAATAATACATTAAGAAACATCATAATTTAGACTTGCATATTCTTATGTAGGAATGATAGGAGAGTGAAAATATATCCAATTCGTCACACAAATTATTATAAGCTCTACACATTCTGAAAATAGGGTCATTGTATGTTACATTATTATTGCATATTATAGGATACTTTTTATCCCACTAAACATTTCCCTGTCCACGCGGACGAAGCCGCTGGCGAAAGATAGTCATTAATGTAAAGATAACTAATGCTAGGGTTGGCAAAAGCTTACTTTTCACTACCGAAACAACCCTGTTAATTTTGTAAAAACTCACCTCTGTTCTCATCTTGCACTTCCCTCTCGGACATCCACCGAACACGGGTTTGGGCCCGTTACTGTACTTGTGTGGTTTAGTTAGCAGTACCATTCCTGGTCTTAACCTCATCGGCTGATTGGCGGATAACCCTAGACTGGCGCAATGGCCTGCGCGTACGCATCCGCAACGTGCTCTATTCCTATATATAGTGCGGACTGTTATCTCTTTGAATTCACCAGTTTCGAAAGGACCTGTCGATTAAAATTATATATCATCATCATGGCCAGTCCATTAATGTCCCCCAGCTGGGGCTCAGGCCTTCCCTATGGGAGAATAGGATATTGCACGCGGGCCCAATGCGGATTGGTGGGTGTTAACGACTGCAGATGCTGAGAACGGCTTAACGTGCCTTCTGAAGCACGGGGAGTGAGTTAATTAATTTTTGGTCACCCATCCCGTGACAGGCCTTTGCGAAAGTTGCTTAACAACTGTATCGCAGAACGTGCGCGCTTACCAGTGCGCCATTGGGGTTCTCAATTATAAAGAGCTATATCATATCACAAATATCTAGTTTCTAAGTTTGTTTGTTTGTAGATAATCTTCGGAAATAATTATCCATAGCCTAATTTTATGATTTTAAAATCTACCGCAATCCCTTCCGTTTTGGTATTTTAAAGATGGTGACGAATTTCACACTACAACTTTTAGGCGTGCGGTAGCGACATTTATTTGAAAGATAAATTTCGCTACCGCACGCCTAATTGGTCCAAGAAAAGCGATAAATGCTTGAAAATCATAGTCGACTTAAAAAATTCATTAATCGCCATCGCTATATCTTAGAATCACCTATCACGAAAATTCAATCACGCGGGCGAAGTCACATGAAAAGGACATGGTTACGGAAGACATATTTGTAAAAATTATCATATGTAAAAATATTAGGAAGTATTCAGAAGAAAAACATTAGTTCCCTAAATCAAACTAGATGTCGCTACGGTACGTTCTTGATTTCTCCACGACAACCCTTCTGGTTTTCTTTCACGTATAAAAGTAAATCAGTTTTCAAAACTCAATAAACAACTCATATTCTATTTGTACGTTTTCGTATTTGTATTGATATCTAAGTTTCGAACTTTGCCAATTTCAGTTTTTTAAAATGTTAGTTAAAAGTAACGGAAATTACTGTCCATTCGTTTCCTGCAAAAATCAACTTTTGCTAGAGTCGCCATCTAGTGGTTGTCTTTCGTTTTTTTTGTCAAACTTCCTCATTATTATAAATTTTAAAGTTTCTTTGTTTGGATGTTTGTCCGTCAATCACATTAGGATTATTTTTATCCCACGAAACATTTCCCTAGGGACCACGCGGGCGAAGCCGCCGGCGAAAGCTAGTAAAAAATATAACAACAAATACGTACGAAATAAGTACATCATTTTAAATCATTTGAACTCATACGGTATTTGTGTCTGAAAAAAAAACGTATTAAACTACATTCTTCACTATTTCCATCTCACTCACCTATGATGAGGTTGTCTCCCTCGTACAACTGTCCACGAGCCAACAGTCCCCCAACAACAGGACCACTAGTGTCCCCCACGTGGAATATCTCGTCGATTTGAAATTCGCACGTCTCCTAAAAGCATAATAATTATAAATCTTTATTTATTGAAACTAAAAACAACTGGACAGATTTTAAAAATTCTTCCACCTACATGAAGCTACATCATACGCGGTGGACATAGTATATATTTTGTACCGAAAAACAGCAAATAGTGGTATGAAAATGGGAATGGAAGTTTGTATGGGCAATTAAAAAGTTCCCATAGTAACCATTGTTTACTATTCAATATCCAAATAAACAGATCCCTAGCGACCATGCGAGCGAAGCCGCTGGCGTAAAACTAGTTTAATAATAAATTACATATAGCTATCAAGAGATGGATAACTGATGCATACATTTTCATTGACGAATATTTCATAGAAAAATTACCTTCTTAAAGAAAGCTTGTTAAAACGGAAAGATAAATCTTTGTTGTTAAGCAACTTTCGCAGTGGTCTGTCACGAGATGGGTGACCAAGAAAAAAAGAAAATTCTCTCTAGCTACTAATTTTGCAATCGTTAACACCCTCCATTCCGCACTGGCCCCGCGTCCGAGGGTCACGGCCCATCTTCCTTAACTTACCGTTGTTGTTAAGCAACTTTCGCAACGGTCGGTCACGGGATGGGTGACCAAAAAAATTATCTCTAGCTACTAACAATCGGTAACACCCTCCATTCCACACTGGCCCCGCGTTGAGGGTAATGGCCCATCCTCCTCAACTTAAAGGTACTCACGTTATCGTGTTGCCTATGGGCGGGCGGTTGTAACGCCAACAGGTAAGCGTGAAGACTATTCACGCCGACACCTCGTACGCAGCTCACGGGAAATACCGGTACCGGCCATAGATTCACACTGGACAAAATACAATTCACTCTTTATCCAGAAAATCAATTAATACGGGTGTTACGGAATAACATTATCCAATCTTTATTCAGGAAATCAATGTCGGCCATAGATTCATACTGGACAAAGCATTATCCAATCTTTATTCAGAAAATCAATACGGGCCATAGATTCACACTGGACAAAACACAATTCACTCTTTATTCAGAAAATCAATTAATACGGCTGTTACGGAAAATAAATACATTAATTTAAAAAAATCAGTTAGTTATTAATATGCTATTACCGATAATCACACTGTTATGTATTATATCTAAATAATAACTCAAAGGTGACTGACTGACACAGTGATCTATCAACGCACAGCCCAAACCACTGGACGGATCGGGCTGAAATTTGGCATGCAGGTAGATGTTATGACGTAGGAATCCGCTAAGAAAAGATTTTGTTCGATTCTACCCCCAAGGGGATGAAATAGGGGATGAAAGTTTGTATGGAACTTTGTCAATTTTAAACTGATCGGGCTGAGATGCATGCATAAAGCTTCTATGACGTAGGCATCCCGTAAGAAAGGATTTTGATAAATTCCACCTCTAAGGGGGTAAAATAGGGGATGAAACTTAATTTCGGGAATTTTACACGATATAATGAATAAATATTAATTAGAAAAGTTGCTCAAAGTAACTTTACCACGCGGATGAAGTCGCGGGCAAAAGCTAGTTTATAATATTGTTTAAATCAATTATGAAATAAAAAACATTTATGTGACCGCAAACAGCGCGTGACGTCACGCCCCTATTTACTCATATCAGAATGTAGAGAATTAAACCTTATGCGTATAGTTTTATATATAGTAGACATACATTTCATGTATATCTATAAAATACTGATAATACACCCAACAGCGTGTTTTAGTGAAAAAGAATTCAAAAAAGTATTAAGCGAACTTAATTGTCTTTGCTGACGGTACTAAAACGACAGCTAAGCCCTGAAGTATTTTTATTTTTTCTCGGCATAATATAATATTCTGTACAACTTCATTAGTGTGACTGGTCTTTTTATAAAGAATATTTATATATTTTTGTTGTTTCTTTGTTTGCACTGAATAAGCTCTTAAACAATTGGAGCTAAAGGAAAGCTACATCATATGCGGTGGACATATATATTTATACCGAAAAACAGCAAATAAAGTTCGTTTAGGAAATTAAAACGTTACCACAGTAACCATTGCTTACTATTAAATTTGTTATTGTAATTATATCCGTGTCGTATGAATCGATATCCAAATAAACAGTTCCTTTGGGAACCACGCAGGCTAAGCCGCCGACGGAAAGCTAGTAGGCAATAAAGTTAATCTTTAAATAAACATTTAGGTTACTCACTCATCTTCCTTCTCTGTTGGTTTCTCGTCTAATCCATTCTCTATGGTGTCTATGATCAGTTTCTGTGGTGCTACGCAGTTTCTTGCTAGATTTTCGTCGGTTATCAACAGGGGTTTCTGTAACAAACAAGGTTTAAACGTTTATTAATAGGGATGATGACTGGGTAAAAAAATGCGATTCTATTCAGTCCGTCAGTCAGATAATAGAAAAATATTAGATACGTATTTTTTTTTATTTCAATTTAACAAGAAATAGCTTAGATAACAGGCATTAAAGTTGAGGGGAGTGGGGGCTCACTACGTCACAGTTGAGTAGAAAACGTACCATAACGTGACGTCATGCGAAATTTCAATTCCATGTGTCGCCGTTATTTTATGATTACGATAAAAAATAAAAAAATACGTGTTTAATATTTTTAAACACTCTACCTGACGGACAAACAAACATAAAATTATCGACATCACTATTGACAATACACATCTCTTATACAATATAAGTAATAAAAAAAAACTAAAAAAGGCTTTAAAAAAAAAGTTATTTTATGGCTCAACTTAGCAAAATTCTTATTGCATTTGACCTCTTACATAAGAAATGTTCCATAAAACAATTTGAATTATTAATTTTTAATTTATAACTTGAAGTGACTTGTAAATATATATAAAGCTTTCACAATGCTATACTGAAAAATATTTCCACTGTGTCCCTGGCACTCTGAGATGGGTCTCGAACCCATGGCCTTTTACAATCCAAACAACTCCAGGGACATAGTGCCAGGGACAAAGTGGATTTTTTAAGCATTTTTCATTTTTTATATATAAATATAAAGTATATATTTTTTAATATACGGAATTTACTAATCAAGTGCTTTAATTTGATACCTATATTGTTACAATTGAAGAATATATTTTTTTATATTTTTCAATGACGTCGTACATCCGCCATATTGGATATTAAAATTATATTTCTATAGCCAGTGTCACTCGGGATATTACGTTTCTAATGATACCCTATAGATTTATATCAGGTAAGTCTTTCGAAAGTTATGGAGGTATTAAGAAACTCATAAACACACATTAATCTAAAAACAATACACTCCCTTTTTGGGCAGTCGTGTAAATCTCAACTCAATATAATCAATTAGAAAAGCTTATCGCACTGTTATTATGTTCAGGCCAACAGTAAGAGCACAGACCATAATGAAAAAGCGCAACTGGAATTAAAAAGAACGGACTGTACGGGCCATATCCCTTTGCCTTAAATTAGGTAACTACTACTGCTAAATTGAACCAATCAGAGAAAGAGTTATACAATCTGCCACTTTACAAAACAGAGAAAAAAACATGTGTCCAATTTTCTTATTTAAATATATATAGCACTATCTTTTAAATGTATAGCGATATATGGATTTAAGTGTCTATGAAAGTCATAATTGCTTTTAAACGATATAAAAAACTTAGCTAAACCCGTAGTAAGAATGCAGTTAGTATTTAACTCTTTTGTTTTACATTTCTCAATTTCAAAGTAATATTTACATGTAACACTTACTGCCGGTTTTAATAACTTACTATATCCGTTACTGGAGATTTAAAGTATACCTGTCTTTGTTGTTTACAATGTAAAAGACAGTGACAGATATACTGTCAAATCTCCAGTTACGGATATAGTAAGTTATTGAAACCGACCGTTAGAGAATTCCAATTAACATTAACGTATCGATCATTTAATATATCTGAAAACAGTCTATCACTTGTCAAATATTTGCAGAGTGAAGTTCGTGAATATCTTTCAAATGTCAAAAAGATTAAGATAGATTTGTAAAAAAAGACAATTAGGCCCCTATCATCATCAGCCTGCGGGGATCCAGACCTTAATTATGGATGATTAAGGGACCGTGACCTTCCACGCGGGCCCAAAGCGGATTTGTGGGTATTAACGCCTGCAAATGCATCCATGACCACCTTAACGTGCCTCCCGAAGCACGGAGATGATTTTCATTCGGTCACCCATCCCGTGACCAACCACTGAAAAAGTTGCTTAACAAAAACGATTATTTCACCTTGTTAGTTTGCGCCAGAATATCGCCCAGCTGTTGCTGAAGCTGTCTCAAAGAACCTCCGGCGATATCACACTTGGTTATAACCACGAAGAAGTCCAAGTCCAAAGCGACCAGTAGAGACAGGTGTTCCTCTGTGATACGGGTGATTCCAGCAGTTGCTGATATCTGCAGAAGAAAAACAGGTTTTAGTGAATCACAAAAGAAAATTTTAAAGTAGCTCAGCCCGCGATCGTTGTTGTTAAGCAACTTTTGCAGTGGTCGGGCACAGGATGGGTGACCGAAAAGGTTGTCTCTAGTTACTCCGTGCTTCGGGAGACACGTTAAGCCGTTGGTCCAGGCTGCATTTGAAGTCGTTAACACCCTCCAATCCGCATTGGGCTCACGTGAAGGGTCATGGCCCATCATTTTTAACCATCTATAAGGAAAGCCTGAGACCTGCAGTGGGGTTGTTAAAAGGCTGGTGATGATGCTCAAAAGGTAAAAGGGTAAATTGTTTATTTATGTATATAAATAAATAATTAAAAAAAAAATAATAATAAGATATTTGTAACCATCCCTTTGCTTAGAAAATACCGATTAACGTTAAATAAACTTTGTCGTTCATTCAATATCTTTAAAAAAAACGTCGCAATCGTAATGAGGAAGTATTTAAAAAAACATTAGTTCCCGAAATCAAACTAGATGTCGCTACGGTACATTCTTGATTTCTCCATGACAACCCTTCCGGTTTTCTTTCATGATTAAAAGTAAATTAGTTTTCAAAACTCAATAAACAACTCATATTTTATTTGTATTGATATCTAAGTTTCGAACTTTTCAAATTTCTGCTTTTTAATATGTTAGTTAAAAGGAACGGCAATGAATGTCTTTGGTCCATTCGTTTCCTGCAAAAATCAACTTTTGCTAGAGTCGCCATCTAGTGGAGGTGCTTTTTAGTGCTTTCGTTTTTTTTTAAATACTTCCTCATTGCTATCACATTTTAAATAGTTTCATCATGAAGTTCGTGAATATCTTTCAAATTCAAAGCGACTGCGTTAGATTTTGATATTAGACTATTAGGTCATGGGTTGTAAACATTTTTGTTAAGCATTATTATACGTGATTTGTGTAACCCTTTTTTTAATCAGACGCATTTTCCACTGAGATCAAATTCACAACTGCCCTTTTTCACACATTTCAAATCCAAAAAATACAGTTAGTTCATTGTGTAAATATTAAATTAAAGGGAGCAGTTCACTTGTCTTGTTGGGAGTTGGTTTTGCCAGTTCTTCTTCTTGGAAAAAACTTCCAAATTTGGAACTGATGGTAGATTACGGTGGCCAAGAGTAAATAAATAAGTCAAGGTATTCTTAAAATAATTTGATTTATTAAATTTAAGCGTTGCCACAACATATTAAAAAAAAAATGTATTGTGAATGTGTCCAGTAATATTGGTTGAAGGTAGTTATACTTTTAATCAAAAAAGTAATCAACACCTTACAGCCAGTTGCACAAACGTTCATTAAAATGTTCATTAGTTTAAAGTGACATTACCTATACAAATTTTACATTCATTAGAGCTTAAAGGCGTCATTAAACCTTAATGGACTAGCCTTATGTGAACACGGAATCTGTAAAGGAACCGAACAGTCAATAATAAAACTTAATACAAACGCGATGAAACCGTTTAAAAGTTGTTTAATTTTTTTTTTAAGTCGGTTAAAAACTCACCACTAGCATGGCGTGATGGGGACAATATCCGCACAGTCCGTGTAACGTGGTCCTCTGATATTTGGCGTGTCCGGCCAAGTCGAGGAATGATACCAACTTGGCACTCCTCTCCCCTATACGCTCAGCGGTCATCAGTTCAGAACAGCCATAATTCACCACGTTACCCTACAAGAGGCGATACACATGATTTATATTTAGGGTTCTATTCGCCAACTCAGTTGACAACCGAAAGTGGGCAACTGCAATATGTCAAAATTATTCATTCGCAATTTTTAAGTGTCAATATCGATAAATTCTGTTCTATAAAAGTGAACTTGATTCAATGAGTGAATTCTTCTAAAATAAAAATACATAGCAACTGGCTACGGATTAGTGATTTATTAAATATGAGTTAAATAATATCAAAACTGAGCGATGACTGGTTGCCCACTGAGCTCTGTGAACAATTTGCTTCGGTTGTCTTTAGAAGTTGACAGAATTACAGAATAAGGGTGCTGAAACCAAAGGATGAAACCGGGACCTACTATACTCAGTTTTTAAATGAGAATTTAAAGACGTCTCAAACTTCAGTTAAACAGGTTTTCGTTTCTGATTTTAGGTTTTTTAACAATCAGTTAGTAGTAGTTAGATATAAAGAAAAATAAGATCAAAAAGTAAAACCTGACTACAGCTAAATTAGGCTCTAAAAACTTTCAAACAAGCATTTTTTTTATAGCGATGACCATAGAACAGAGTAGTCATATGCCAGAACAGTTTATTATGATCAGTGGTAAAAACAGAATAAAACAAATAATTAAGGAGGCCCATACGATAAACTCAATTTTTTTATTGACAACGATGAGTAGCTCGGTCACGTAGTGGATAAGCGCCGCGGCCCGCGATAATTATTGTTAAGCAACCTCCGCAAGGGTCGGTCACGAGATGGGTGACCGAAAAATTATTATCACCCCCTCCGTGTTCCGGTTACGTTTGCAGTCGTCAACACCCATCAATCCGTACTGGTGGGCCATGGCCCGTTCTATCTATTCGATTTGATTACATATATACGGGAGATCTGAATCCCATCAGTGGGGTTATTAATAGGCTGTACATGAAATAGTGTACCTGAGCATCGAACCCAAGTATCTCGTGACTGAGCGACGATGTTCTGCCACTTTTCACTTCGTGCAGATGCCTGAACATATTCAAACGAGCGCTGCCTCTGCCGTTATCCAGTTCTCCTGTTAATAGAAGAAAAAAAACAGGTCCAGCATTAAACACGAGTCTATTACAGCTAAAGATCTTTGGAATTAAGATATAATAATAATTGATAAAATAATAGATTGAAGGAAATCCTTGGAGGAGGCTTTTACCCGATGGGGGTTTATTCAAAATTTATTGAATTAGACTCTTATGTACCCATCATACATAATACATATTAAATTACCATTTATAATATATATATATATATTATTAAATTCAAATTATTTGTAAAAATTGTATTGTAATTATCTTATTTTTCTGTAATAATGCGAATGTTTTGTGTGAAAAAAATAAAGCTTATTATTATTATTATATCGAGTCCAGGCTTTTTCGAAATCCTAGAATAGACCCCTATGGGGCCGTCCATTAATCACGCGAGACTCGAAAGAGGGGGGGTGTCGTCAAAAATCACGAAATATCACAAGGGGGAGAGGGCTACAGTAATATATCACGTGTATTTATTTTTTCCTCAAACGCGAGATTACTGAACCGAATAGCGACGTCAAAATTTTACAAAGAAATTGATAATAGAACTACAATACTAACCAGACACTACAAAAATACTTACTAACTAAAATATTACAATAATACTAATAAATACTAACTAAAATATGTAATAAACGTATAAGATATATAGATTAATAAAATAAATAAATAGATAGTAATACCTATTATTGATTCAGTTAATTTGTCAAGATACTAAAAAAATACACGTGTTTTGGGTGGAGGAGAGGGAAGGATTAGTCTTAAAACTCACCAATTTTCACCATGGGGTAAGGGGGAATTTAAAAAATGTTGAAAAAATCATCGATTATTGAAAATTATTGAACTACCCTTTTCCATGATTATAAAAAGGGACGAGGACTAATTTTTATTTGTCTGTCTGTTGGGTGATTATTGAAAATGCACGTATTTTTATTTTATTTTATGCGTTACCGACAAATTACGGCGCTACATTAAATTGAAACGTCATATCCCACACACCTTTGTACAATGGAATGGAAGGTGAATTCATATTTTAATGAGGGCTATCGTTTTTTCGCTCACCAGATGGCACGACAGTTGCGAGAGGTCCTATCTCTATCGAAAATTTGTTTACTACGAGATTGAACTTAAATCATACATAGTAGTAATACATAAATAATTTTATAAAAATACCTAACATGCCCAATATACACTAACCTCTGATTTAGCTGTTCATTCATCCTGCTTATAATTGAACCTTTTATAGCTGTTTTTATAGCACTGACTTTCATTGACCCATAATTCTTAATTACTTTAATGAATCCCAGGTCCCTCAAAGTAAGAGGAAAAAAGAGATGATGACTGGGTAAAAAAAATGCAATTCTATTTAGTCCGTCAGTCAGATAATAGAAAAATATTAGATACGTATTTTTTTTACTTCAATTTAACAAGAAATAGCTTAGATAACAGGCATCAAAGTTGAGGAGTGGGGGCTCGCTACGTCACAGTTGAGTAGAAAACGTACCATAACGTGACGTCATGCGAAATTACAACTCCATGTATCGTCGTAATTATATGATTACGAAAAAAAAATACGTGTTTAATATTTTTTAACACTCTTCCTGACGGACAAACAAACAAAAATTAGTCATCATCCCTATTCGTTTGTTTTAAAAGAAACGCTCGTAATCTCGCGTAGTTCACCAACAAAGTATGATATCTGACATTTTGAAGATCTCACGCTACACTAGCGCCTCTTGTGATAAATTCAAACGCGTTTGCCCTAATTAAGTCATTTTTCAATCTGTATGAAATAAAAAGGGGAGAAAAAAGCAGCCCTTGCCGAGTATTTTACCGGTTCTTCTCGGTACAAGGTCTCCCGCCGTAGATTTACGAACCGATGGCGTAGCTCTCTTCAGTCTAGACTGTTACAAGTGCTTATAACAGCCTAGACTATAAATAATTTTGTTTTTTTTTTTTGCACATTATCGACATAGTTGTGACGTAGCGTGCTCGACTCAACTTCAATGCGTATTTTCTAAAGCATTTCTTGATAAAAACAAACAAAAAGATAATATTCGCAATGGTCGGTCACGGGATTTGTGACCAAAGATTCATATAAGATACTCCGTGATGCAAAAGGGACATTAAGTCTCAGCTGTATTTGCAGTCGTTAATACCCTCCAATCCGCATTGGGCCCGCGTGGAGGGTCACGGACTATACTCCTCAACCATCCATAAGGGCCAGTTACTTAATAAATAATTGACGACCTACGTTGCCAAGTAGCTCGCACGCCGGTAACAAGACGTTGTCATCTCCGAGGTCCCGGATTCGATTCCCGGTCGGTTAAATGTAGGAAATGAACTTTTCAATATTATCCCGTGTCTGGGTGTTGTGAATCTTAGAATCGAGTAATATATATGATATTTATTTTATTGATTTACATTAATATTCGATTCCCGATCTGTTAAATATAGAAAATGAACTTTTCAATATTGTCCCGTGTCTGGGTGTTGTGAATCTTAGAATCTGAGTAATGTATGTTTTATTTTTATTTATTTATATTAAACAAAATGTTGGACGATTCAAAAGTACTTTTAAGAAGTCTATTTGAATAAAGATTATTTTGACTTGACTTTTGAAACTCACCCTGGGTCAGAACACCAATAAGGGTAGATTTGCCAGCTTCGTTCGCCCCCATCACAGCTACTCTCAGTTCTACACTTTGCTGAGTGTCTGCCAACTGAGAAAAGAATTTTGTAGAAGATGATATGGTGACATAGGTAGGGACGCAACGATATATCGATATAAACGATATATATCGATATAAACGATATATATCGATATAAACGATATATATCGATATAAACGATATATATCGATATAAACTATATATATATCGATATAAACGATATATATCGATATAAACTATATATATCGATATAAACGATATATATCGATATCGAAAAAACTAACACATCGGAAACTAATTTCGAATGAAATCCTAAGAGTAAATCTATATCAGTTGTCCAAATTTCAACGTCCAACGGCATTTTCACATGTGTTATTATCAGTGGTCGGAATTAGGTAGAGTTATTCATGTACTTACACTGATTTCATACAGCGAAAGAATAAAGTGGATATGCCTCAAATCTCGAGATAAATTTTAAAGAGCAGAAAAAATCCCGTGATTTTTTAAATAACAATTTATTTACTTTTACACAATTTAAACTACTGCACGCACGACGTTGCCAAACTTACATCAATGAAAGAAGGAAATAAAGAAAGAAGAAATAAAGAAATCCCGGGAATGTCCACATTAATATCAACATTTCGATGCAAGTACATAAATAACTCTACCTAATTCCGACCTCTGGTTATTATATTTGTAAAACTGTTTTTTTTTTTTTCTTTAAACTTGTAGTTGTTTTTATTATGATAATTTTAATTTAATTTCAAAATAGTGTGTTTTTCCCAATTTAATCACAAGACATCTTCCATTTAAAATAGTCTTTTAAAGTGGCAATAAAATATTTTTTCAATTTAAATAAAACTTCACTCACGGCTGAAGTGAAAAAAAAAAATTCTATTTAATTCGTCAGGCAGATATTAGATACGAAATTAGTTCCTTGTAGTCCCGCGAATACGAAGATTGAAATGCTTCGGGATAGAAAGCCTTAGATAAATATAAATATGAACGGTTCCTTACCTTTCTTATGTAAACTTCGGCCACAGCCCTGTGAGGTGCTACTCTCCTTGCTGTTATATGTGTTAGAGTAGCTGATAACGTTCTAGCCATTCTTCTCAACGAGTGTAGCGAAGCCCTGAGAGCCTTCGCCCTCAGGCCCCTTAGGGCACCGCAGTCCCTCACACCTAACACGTATACCGCACTTCCCCCTCCGGATCGAAGACGCCATTTCAACTAAAATAACATACGCCCACAATTAACAAGAATATTTTTTTTTTCTACTTTTAGTTAATAAATAGTATTATATATAATTAATCTAAATATATATAAATCAAAGGTGACTAACTGACATAGTGATCTATCAACGCACAGCCCAAACCACTGGACGGATCGGGCTGAAGTTTGGCATGCAGGTAGATGTTATGACGTAGGCATCCGATAAGAAAGGATTTTGATCAATTCTACCCCCAAGGGGATAAAATAGGGGACGAAAGTTTGTATGAAACTTTGTCAATTCTAAGCCGATCGGGCTGAGACTTTGTATGCATAAAGCTATGACGTAGGCATCCCCTAAGAAAGGATTTTGTAAAATTCCACCCCTAAGGAAATAAAATAGGGATGAACCTTTTTTTCAGGCATTTTACACGATATAATGAATAAATATTCGTTAGAAATGCTGCTCAAAGTAACTTTACCACGCGGACGAAGTCGCGGGCAAAAGCTAGTAAATAAATAAATATAGTATTAATAAATAAATATACTGTTATAGTCCGGTTCACATAGGACGAGTATGATGACGTTTGTCAACAAATTCATCTTAAGCAATATGTATTTCCAGGGTTCGCAAAACTCCGATATCACTACATAGTACAAAGTCGCCTTCTCTGTCCCTATATCCGTATGTATGCTTAAATCTGTAAAACTGCGCAACGGATTTTGATGCGGTTTATTTTCATAGATAGGGTGATTCAAAAGGAAGGTTTTTATGTATAATACAAGAGCACGCGGGCGAGGCCGCTGACGGAAAGCTAATTTATAATAGCTATTTGAGATATGCATATGAAAAGCTGACATTTTTTAAGCTGCTAGTGTATGTACTTTATTTATATATTTAATCTTTTAAAATTAAATCAAAAGTGTAAAATAAAAATTGTGTAAGTATTTAATATTTGTTTATTTATCATGAAATAATTTAAAAAAAGTAGGCGAGCGAGGATTTCCAGTAATGTGTAGGGGCATACCCGATATTTCTAGTAAGATTGCTACTTCGGGTCAATGTTACTAGCGTCACATCGGGTTGGTTTATTTTCTAGCTGAGACTGAATACTCAAACTAATTATAAATATCTGTCGGCGGGTAGTCCGGAGGACTATCTTTAAAATAACACTGCAGGCGTGTATACCAACGTGGAATGATTCCATTTTATCACTTTTTATACGAAAATATAACGAGATGAGCGTGATGTCGTCGGATGTCTTTACTCCTCGGCGATCGGAAACAGAACGTGTGCCAAATATGGCGGCTATTTGCTTTTTGTTAACGAACTGTCAAAGTCAGTGTCACCATTCTAATAAAATTAGAAGTGTCGATGATCACGCTCTCTCTACAATCGAGTAATTAAGTAATCGAGTCACTCGCAATTTAAAAAAAGTATCTACATCAAATGATCTTCTTAAAGATCATGCGACATATCAATTAATGTATATCGATGTCTATGAAATATATCTGTTCATATTTATCAGCAAATATCATGATATATGCCCATTAATATTTATCAGCGAACCCTTTGTATTTCCGTATGATTAACAACTATTTTTATTAAAAATTGTTTGACTATGTATATAATAGATATTTATTTAAATCTGCATAATAAAACAAGAATACATTTTTAATACATTTTGACGACTGGGTAATTAAAAAAAAACTATTTAGACCGTCAGTCAGATTATAAAAAAATATTAGTTACTTTTTTTTACTTCAATTGTACATAGTTTTGTAAAAATGTACATCCTCCTCCTCCTTTTTTTTGAAGTCGGTTAAAAATTGTAATGCCTACAATCGCCAGCAGTATGAAGACAGCTGATTATTTTTTCGTTAGTGTGTTGCTCTCCTAGCAATAAACGTTCAGTATTCAAATCACAAAAGTCACCGTACCTATGCTATATGAAAATAGACTATACCGATAATCACACTTTCAGGCTTATTATATTTATAATACACCGGCGAACTTTGTTCCGCCCAAGAAATTAAAAGTTAAGCAACTTTCTTAAGGGTCGGTCACGGGATGGGTGACCGAAATTTTCTCGAACACGGTAAGCCGTTAGTCCCGGCTGCATTAGCAGTTATTAACAACCTCCAATCCGCATTGGGCGCTTAGGGTCACGGCCCATCCTCCATTAACCATTAGACCCATTAACCATCCATAAGGAAGACCCACAGTGGGGACGTTACCAAGCCATAAGGAAGTCGGGACGTAGAAGGGCTGAAAAATACTCACCTGAGTGACTAGATGCTGGAATCTTCTCTCGCAAGGTGACACCAGTTGTAACTTATATTCCACGTTGCCGAATCTAGGCTCTGGTGGTAGACTACCATATACTTCTTCGCTTGAGTCGTCACGTTCAGAGGCACTTTGAAAGAAATCAATAATTATAGTTAAATTATAAAAAGGTAATGTTTGTTTGTTCGTAGTTACTAATATGTAATCTAATTGACTAATTTTAAAATCTATCACAATCCCTTTCAAACATATAGCAGTTGGGATAGTTATTAATTGTGTAACTATTAAAGTCACAATCTCTTTTGGAACAAATGATGATATAGATGTCTTCTTCTTCTTCTTTTTTAATTCATGGCCTATTTGCATTTACACAATTCCGTCAATGTCACGTTTGTGGTCTTTACACATATAGAAACAATAATATGTAAATTTTGAATTTAAATAAAATAAAATAAATAGCTCTGAGCGCGTCTATCTGATTACGATATAAATGTCATATGAAATTCATTTCGTTTGACATTTCCCAATGTTCTCAGATATATTTGTCATTATAACTTTGCTTTGTCTCTCATTAACGTTATCGTTCCTTTTTTTCATATCCCTCTTCCTTGTAAGACGTCATTCCCTCATAGATTAACCAAACCCACAAATTTTAAAACCGTCTTAAAATATGTTAACTCCCCTTTTGTAATCATCTTATAGAATACTGAAATATAAAGTAATCTCTGGATTCTGGCGAAATCCACAAGGGCAACGCCATTAATTAAAAAGAAAGAGAAGAATATCTTTAAAAAAAAGAGGCGATCACAATCGCTATCAATGTCAATTTGTTATACCGTGAAGTTCGTGAATATCTTTCAAATGTCAAATTCAAAGTTGAAAGATTTTAAAATTCACTCATGTGTCCGATGTCACGTCATTTAGTGTAGAAATCCTATTGATTCCATTTTTTTTATATAAAAATACAAAACAAATTGAGTGATTTTACTTGTTAGATTAGATAATATACGTGTTAGATATTCTATTGCTATGTCATTTCGAAACTCACTTCACTTATGCCACGAAACGTTAATACCAATAGGGATGACGACTAATTTTTGTTTGTTTGTCCGTCAGGTAGAGTGTTAAAAAATATTAAACACGTATTTTTTTTATTTTTTTTCGTAATCATAAAATTACGGCGTTACATTGAATTGAAATTTCGCATGACGTCACGTTATGGTACGTTTTCTACTCAACTGTGACGTAACGAGCCCCCACTCCTCAACTTTAATGCATGTTATCTAAGCTATTTCTTGTTAAATTGAAGTAAAAAAAAATACGTATCTAATATTTTTCTATTATCTAACTGACGGACTAAATAGAATTGCATTTTTTTTACCCAGTCATCATCCCTATTCGAAATTTAGCCGATGACGTTTTTAAAAGCGAATTCTGACACCCGAGTTAATTCGAATTCGGGTTTGGGTTTATACAGAATCGCAGGGCAGATTATGAAAATTCATTCTCCCACGGAAAGCTACGTCATGCGCAGGTGAAACAGGCTATGATGATTTTTAGGGGCGAAGTTATACAGTAACATTGTAAAGAGGTAAGATTAGTAGCCCGGTGGCGTAGTGGATAAGCGCCGCGGCCCACGATCGTTGTCGTTAAGCAACTTTCGCGAGGGTCGGTCACGGGATGGGTGACCGAAAAATTATTATCTCGAGCTACTCCGTGCTTCGGTAAGCACGTTAAGCCGTTGGTCCCGGCTGCATTTGCAGTCGTTAATACCCTCCAATCCGCATTGGGCCAGCGTGGAGGGTCATGGCCCGTCCTCCTTAACCATCCATAAGGATCACATTGCAGTGGGGACGTAAAAGGGCTGATGACGACGACGACAAAGATTCGATAGTTTGTTTGTTTGCATCAAATAAGTTCAGAATTACTGGACCGATTTTGAAAATTCTTTCAGCTACGGGGAGCTACACACGCAGGACTATAATTTAGTATACGAAATCGCGGGAAAAAAGTTAGTTTTGTAATAGAAACAAAACTGCCAATCCAATTTTAATACGTAATATTTATATAGGACCATCACAGAATAAAAAACTTTAGAACGGGGTACGAAACAAACAGATATATAATTATAAAAAATACAAAGTATCCGATAGATTCGGATATAAATTATGCATATTTTTAAGCATCCAGTGGCTATATTTAATAAATCATCTTTTGTATCAAAAGTGTAAAATAAAGACTGAGTTTAGAGTTAATAAATATTTGTTTATTTATTATAAAATAATTCAAAGGTAACATGCGTGCGATGATTTCCTGTAACATATAAGAGAAACTCGATATTTCTAGTAATTAAGGTAATAATGTTGCCATCACATCGGGTTGGTTAACTTTCTAACTAATAATAAATATTATATATTTCAACGTATATATCTGTTGATTTTTTTCAGCGAAATCTGCTATATAATATATATTTTAAAAAAAATTGATAACTCTATCATTTCGCTGAGAAACCGGTGAACATATATAAAATACATACATATCTGTCGAAATAAGTTCAAAAAAAAACACACAAAATCAAGCCTACCTGGAAAGGTATTCCGCCTACCCTGAAAGGTACACGACCAAAATTTTGCTACCCTGAAAGGTACATGACCAAAATCTTGCCTATGCTAAAAGGCACTTAATATCTTGCCTACCTTAGAAGGTAGACATAGAAAAATAGAACACTCACGTGTCGTCGAACGAATCCTCCATTTCTTCAGAACTGAACAGTTCATTGTCCAATTCGTCAGTGTTGAAGTCGCCGGCCAAATAGGTGTCGTCCTTCAAGCCTACTTTCTCGAGTTTCTCTATGACATTGTAGACCGAATCATCGTAACCTGTCTCTTCGAAATCATCGGTCTCTTTCCTGTAAGCAATTTTTTTTCATTTTTTAAAGCAATAAAAAGCTGCCCAGGAGCGAAATATTAATATTTAAAAACAGTAGTCTAATAGATGATGACTGGGTAAAAAAAAATGCAATTCTATTTAGTCCGTCAGTCAGATAATAGAAAAATATTAGATACGTATTTTTTTTACTTCAATTTAACAAGAAATAGCTTAGATAACAGACATTAAAGTTGAGGAGTGGGGGCTCGCTACGTCACAGTTGAGTAGAAAACGTACTCATGCGAAATTTCAACTCAATGTAACGCCGTAATTTTATGATTGCGAAAAAAATAAAAAAATACGTGTTTAATATTTTTTAACACTCTACCTGACGGACAAACAAACAAAAATTAGTCATCATTCCTATTGTTTAATTTTAAAGTCTATCACGATCACTATGAATTTGAAAGATATTCACGAACTTCACGGTTTTCTAAACGATAAATTTTATTTGAAGTTACTCGGAATCTAAGCAATGAATGAAAGCTATTAGAAAATGTCAAACGAAATGAATTGTCTGTTACTTATATATCATTCAAATTGTCATTCGTTCCAAGGGTAATTGTGACTTTAAAAGTTACAGAATTCTATAAATCAACAGCTGCTATATGTTTGAGAGGGATCGTTATAGATTTTAAAATTAGAGAATTAGCCCACAGGCAGGCATATGTCATATCAATTCGTACGAGATATCTATACTTAATATTATACAGAGGAAATATTAGATTGTTTGTTGTTTGTTTGACTCCAAAACTACTGGACAGATTTTAAAAATTCTTCCACCTACATGAAGCTACATCATATGCGGTGGACATAGGATATATTTTATACCGAAAAACTATATATTAATACATGAAGCAAAAACTTTGAACTTGGGAAATTGCAAGGACGGAGGGGTATGAAATTTGGCACACTCATAGTTTATATGTAGGAGAAGTGCAGACGGCTGATATTTTTCAATAATACTGCTTAAAAAGTACATTAAATCAATAAATAAAACATTACACACACTACTATGCATTTGACACACACAAACAAGTATTTGCTACACGCATACATGTACTCTTTTGTATATTGGCTCCGCACGGTTTGTGCATTGAGCCAGTGTCGAGTTGTATATGTTTACCGTAGACATATATTTGTATGTTTGTGATGTTTACTGTGGTCTTACTGAATGTCAAAAGATTTTCGAATTCAGTAATAACCAGTGGTCGGAATTAGGTAGAGTTATTCATGTACTTACACTGATTTCATACAGCGAAAGAATAAAGTGGATATGCCTCAAATCCCGAGATTAATTTTAAAGAGCAGAAAAAATCCCGTGATTTTTTAAATAAAAAGTTATTTACTTTTACACAATTTAAACTACTGCACGCACGACGTTGCCAAACTTACATCAATGACTTCGCATGTCCAAAGTTGCAAAATACCAATACGCGCGATGTTGCGACGAAGGTCCATATTAATATCAACATTTCGATGCAAGTACATGAATAACTCTACCTAATTCCGACCTCTGGTAATAACTTCTAATTGAAATTTATAATGGTCAAATTTCGAGCACTGGACGACCATTAATAAATTGATGAAAAGGTAGTGAAAGTTTGTATAGGGAATTAAAACGTTACCATAGTAACCATTGTTCACTATTCAATATGTCATTGTAATTATATCTGTCATGATATGAATAGATATCCAAATAAACAGTTCCCTAGGGAGAACGCAGGCAAAGCCACTGGCGGAAACCTAGTATATTATATAGATACTGCACCTGTGATTGCTCTTATAACTCTTCTTAAGATCGTTCACGTTCTTGCCGACGTCATTGCACAACTTCAGCTCTGTCCTCACTTCGGCCTGATTGTTCCAGCTGGTCGCGTCGGCTTCCGTCCAGGCGTTACCAGCTGTCTCCTTCATCGGTGACACTTTGTTCTTTTTCCTGCGGTTCTTGCGGCCCGAGTTGCGACGCTTCGGTTTCCTATCAGGATCCACTTTGGCATCTGCGGAAACGAAAACGAAAAATCCTCTATTCAAATAAGCTTATGCACTTTTGATGCGTTCAAAATTATTCTTCCCTGCGACTCGTTCAGCACCCTTATTCTGTAACTCTGGCAACTTCTGTGGACAACCGAAGCTCAGTGGGCAACCGATCATTGCGCGGTTTTGGTTTTCTATAACTCATTTTTAATAAATCACTAATCCCTAAGCAGTTGTTATACAACAAATTTAATATAAGTGCAATCATTAATGATTACAGAATAAGAATTAAAAGTATATCGATACAAGATCAAGTGTCACAAATAAATAGAACCGACTTAAAACTTAAAAAAGTGAAAAGTAATATTTATCTCAAAAGCTATTAAATAGGGATGATGACTGGGTAAAAAAATGCAATTCTATTTAGTCCGTCAGTCAGATAATAGAAAAATATTAGATACGTATTTTTTTTTTACTTCAATTTAACAAGAAATAGCTTAGATAACAGGCATTAAAGTTGAGGAGCGGGGGCTCGCTACGTCACAGTTGAATAGAAAACGTACTCTAACGTAACGTCATGCGAAATTTCAACTCAATGTAACGCCGTAATTTTAATGATTACGAAAAAAATACGTGTTTAATATTTTTTAACACTCTACCTGACGGACAAACAAACAAAAATTAGTCGTCATCCCTATTAAAGTCGGGAGGAGGTTTTCGGTAGGTTATTAATTAAATGATAGGCGCCTGACTTCAATAGCATTTTCTTGAATTAGGGCACTTTTGAGATAAGTATTATTTATTACTTTTTAAAAAGTTTGAAGTCTGTTTTATTTAATTTTTTAATTCATGCTTTTTAGTGATATTGATATTTTTATATATCAGGTAAAACAAAAATACTTTTCTGGAAACCACGTCAAAATCGGCTCAGCCAAACGCGAGATAATCGCGGACAACACGTACAACACGTGTTAAAGTGCGAACCTCCATTTTTTAGTCGGTTAACATACCTAAAACCTCCGGACCTGACAAATACTATGTTGAAAACCGCTGAATCAAAATCGGTTCTGTCAAACCCGAGATAATCGTGCACAAACATACATACACACATACAGGCCATACTGAGAACCTCTTTTTTTTCGAAGTCGGCTAAAAATGGAGTTCAGCGGAGATCGCCGTTATTGACATTTCCAAATTGCAAACCATTCATAGAAAATATGAATGAATGATTTTGTCAGTTGAGACTTATCAGCTCTTTATCAAAAGTAACTACATTTATTAAGGCAATCATGTCATTACCAAAATAGTACGTTTTACGATAATAATAAAACATATATCCATATAAGTGATTGGATTTCCCGTGCTACCTTTTTGACATTTAATATTACAACCTTGACATTATACTTATCAATATATATCTGACTTCTAACACTATACTATCATTTATTATGAATTATACTTGACATGCCTTTGTATTTTATTATTATTTAATTCCCAATATATATATTTTTGTTTTCGTACCATTTTTGTCTCTTTTTATATTAATTTTTGACATTATATCTTCATGATTCTATTCATTCAATTCATTTAAAAATATATATTTTTGCCCCCCCCCCCCCCCCCCCCCCAACCATTAAGGGTGATGGATGAAGACCTGTGCTTCATCTGCATTAGATGATTTTAATACACCGAGCCTAAACCCTTCTCTCAACTGCTGTACATGTATATATTTCTGCTTCTTGTTCTTCTTTGTTTCTTTTACCGTGTCAATGTTTAGTAAGTTTATTACATATCTCTTTCTCTTGTGCACTCGCACATAGCGCTATGTTTATCGCTATCGCACTCGCACATATGCATCTAGCCAATGTAGTCACAGTAAAGTGAACCTAAAAAGTAGCTCGATGGGTTATCGTTAAGCAACTTTCGCAAGGGTCGGTCACGGGATGGGTGACCAAAAAATTATTATCTCGACCTACTTCGTGCTTCGGAAGGCACGTTAAGCCGTTGGTCCCGGCTGCATTTGCAGTCGTTAATACCCGCCAATCCGCACTGGGCCCGCGTGGAGGGTCATGGCCCATCCTCCTTAACCATTCATAAGGAAGGCCTGAGCCCCTGCAGTGGGCACGTAAAAGGGCTGATGATGGTGGAAAGCTCCATTAGTAGCCACCAAGGTCAATGTACTCTGTTCGGCGACCGGGCTATAGTGAGAAAAAAAAACAGCACCAACCTTCATCCTTATTTAATGCTATGTAGCTCTCTATATAGCTGCCGTCTTTAACCAAGACGTCCGTACTCAACTCAGGTTCGCACAGGAACGACGATTGTTCCGGAAGCGTCTCATTTTTTCCGTGCGCGCGTCTTCCTCTTCTTCTTCCTGTTAAAAAACATATAAAACCCTTATTTATCTAATGTACTACCTAATATTATAGAGAGCTGTATGAGCTGTTTGTTTGCATCAAGTACGCTCCGAAATTACTGGACCGATTTTACAAATTCTTCATCTACGGCAGTGATTCCCTAAGTGGTCCAGGTGGAACCCCAGGGATCCACGAGGGATTCAACGGGGGTCTACGTTGGCATGAAATACAAATAGGGGTTCACAAGTTTTAAATAAATTTTGGTAAAAATGTAGCAGCAGGGGTCCACCGAAACCAGTAATTTTTTTAAAACGGTCTACGAGAAAAAATTGTTCAGGAACTTCTGATCTACGGGAAGCTACATCACACGCGAGTGACTTAGGATATTATTGTTAAGCTAAGCTAATTAGTTGTAGACCTTTTGGTGCGTCTGCTTTTTTCTTCACATTATCTTGTTCTGGTCTCTTATTCTTCTTGGATCCCTGTTTGCCTTCAGATGGATCGAAGAGGCTGAAGAAGGAATCCATATTGCCCTGTAACAAGATCACAACAAAATCAAAACAGCGACATCTATCTGACCGCGGTGACATCGCCACAAACGGCAAGGCAAGCAGCTTCATTATACATCAAAACTTTACATAGACATTACATAAAAACAACTCCAATCAGGGAATGCAATCTCGTTCGTCTCGGAGAACGAGATCTCGCGAGATCTCGGCCTTTTTAGCGAGATTGATCTCGGTCGAAAATGGGCGAGATCTCACGAGTTTAACGAGATTGCATAAATGATTCATTCTAAGTGCGACAGCGCGAATTTATTCGACTCCGGGGGGTTAAATGGCTAAGTTTTAGGCTTTTACAGCACTTGTTTTTGAAAGGGTCTTCTCAGTGGCTGGTTATCTGGCCACCACAATTATAAGACGCCACAATAATAAGAGTGCCAATCTCGCGAGATTGCATTCCCTACTCCCAACCTACTACGTTAGTTCGACCGTTGTACCCAAGCTACCAACACACAGCTCGGAGTGTGACAATTTCCCTTTAATCTTCGTAGCCAGTTGCTACTTACAAGTATGATTAGCTGTTGGGTAATATCAGATTTTCATAATATTGATTCGAAACTATATATTTTTTTAAACTATATATGTGTGAATAAATCTGTATTCGGTAAGCTCAAGCCATGAACACAATCGCAAATAAGTAGTAAAACAAATCAATTTTCATAATATTGATTCGAAACTATATATTTTTTAAACTATATATGTGTGAATAAATTTGTATTCGGTAAGCTCAAGCCATGAACACAATCGCAAATAATAATCGCAAATAAGTAGTAAAACAAACCATACAGCATGTCACGTTCCGGACGTTCCGGGGGTTAATTATCCAATTATAAAATCTATCTCAATTCCTTTCAATTTGAAAGATATTCACGAACAACACACTACAACCATTTGATATGTGATAGCAATTGCGTTCGCGACGTTTTATTGAAAGATATTGAATAAACGACACCATTAATTTGACATTAAATTTAAAAAATCTTTTCAGCCAAACACAAGATAATCACGGACAGAACATACAACACGTGTTTAAAGTGCGAACCTCCATTTTTTTAGTCGGTTATTATACCTGAAACCTTCTCCTAAGTCAGACAAATACTATGCTGAAAACCGCATCAATATCGGCTCAGCCAAACGCGAGATAATCGTGCACAAACATACATACATACAGGTAAACTAAGAACCTCCTTTTTTGAAGTCGGTTAAAAAAACAACATAAGAAAGACACAACTGGAAAGTGAGAAATAATACCACAAAATATTTATGTTAAATAAAATCGTATCACAAAAAGTACCTTACATGATATTTTTTTTCAGAAATATCTGGCACCAACCTTAAAAAAAATTGTTGGTGTATCCACATACACACATCCATAACATTTAGCACACGTGCTTAGAAATCCAAAAATGCATAAAGTACATTTTCTACATTGGTCCGACTTGATAAATTGAGTATCGAACCCGGGAAATCAAAGAGCGATGTGTCGTCAGTGATAATACCGATAAATATAAATAGCGGTTCCGTTCTAAAAAGATCTTTTGTTATTCCTTTTCCAATATATTTTGATGAAGTACGGAGTTCCAAAAAAATAAAAACTTTTTTTCATACTATATATTACACACCCACCTTTTTTAAATTAAGAATAAACTACACACATCAAACTATTATCAACTTAAAAAAAACGGAAAAAAGCGCGCGAAATAAATATAATTAGAAAGATATCCAAACTTCTTGAACACAACACGACTATTGCATCAGAAAGAATTCCAAAAAAAAAATAAAAACTTTTTTCATACAATATATTCCACACCCACCTTTTTTAAACTAAGAATAAACTACACACATCAAACTATTATCAAATTAAAAAAGAAAATCGGAAAAAAAGCGCGCGAAATAAAGATAATTAGAAAGATATCCAAACTTCTTGAACACAACACGACTATTGCATCAGAAAAATATTAAACAACTGTTGATTCCCCAATAGCATTGCCACAGTTAACTCATTCCAGACATCTTGCATCTCACTTGCACAATGAAAGATAACTCTTGCGTCTCACTCACATCGGGATTACACCATATTAATTTTTCGGTGATGTTGCATCATATTGTACGTCATGATTGTGTGAAAACAGGAAATATTTCTAATTAATTGATAATAATATTTTAACTAGGTGTTTTGCCGCGACTTCGGCCGCGTAAATTATTAAATCATATATCGTGCGCTTATTATTTAGCTTCCCGTAGGTGAAAGAATTATTAAAATCAGAGCAGTAGTTTCGAAGCTTATTGGATGCAAACAAACAATTAAATGTTTCTTCTTTATAATGAGTATAGATTAGGGTCTATTATGACTCGTTCACACATAATTATATAGTGATTTTTTTTATAATCTGTAAGGGGGCGTCCATAAATTACGTGAGGTGTTTTTTTAAATTTTCTGTCCCTCCCTCCCCCTCTGGTGAGATGTCGTGAGATTTTATTCAACCCTCTCCCCCATCCCCCAATCTCACGTGAGATTTTTCAAAATGCAATTTGATGAGTACTTGCGAGTATTTGCCTTGTTGTAGTATCGAGTATCGCTTTTGAAAGTATCGATACCTACTCGGTATCGAAAGTATCGTTCGAGCCCTACAAATATGGTGGTTTGACATTCAGTAGATGTATAGCGTCGAAGTATGAATGAAATTATTTTCTTTCGAACGAATTAGTGAATGATCTTAATCGTATACGATTACGCTTAAGATTAAATCTTAAGCATGTACAATCTAGATTAAATGGACCAAAATAGTATTTTTTTTTATTTCAATCAGAAAAAAAATTGCGTGATATTTGCCGAGACCCCCCCCCTATCTCCAACGTAAGATGAGATGAGATTTACCTTGACCCCCTCCCCCCCTTAAACATCTCACGTAATTTATGGACGCCCCCTAACTATATTGGCAAACATGTTAGCGACTTCTGTAGCCTTGTGAAGAATAAAATATCTGGGCAAAATTTCATAAAATCTGGATTACTCGGTACAAAAATTGATACATTCATCCTTCGCCTCAGAAAAAATTGACAAACAAAGATAATGAATTTATTTCTAGGTTGTTTCAGCCATTACGAGCGATTTACTTAAAGATTTTATCAATTATTTAACATTTGACGGGACATTTCCTTATTTTTCGGGACTCTGGATATTCTACGAAAGGTCGGGACAATCCAGACCAATCCCGACCATCTGGCAACCCTTCGCCGGTGTCATGGTGTTGATATCTCAGGTCTAGGGTTCTTTTCCTGGTCGGGTCAATATAGAAAAAAAAATACTTTTCTATATTGTCTCTAGTATGTATTGTGGCATCTTCCTTTTCAGATACTCCATATTACGAGACCCTTAACTACTCATTTTAAAATCTAAACATTTTATGTGAGTTTGTCTCTAATGATTGATTTCCACGTACAGTAAGGGTCGGTTTTTTAATCCGTAGTTAAATGTAATTTCACCATTTGTTGACTTGACCATAGTTAAAACGTTAACCAGTTGTAAAACCATAACCAAAGTTAACCATTGGTTAATTTGTTGCCAGCATGACTGGTTATTTCGCTATACATTGACATGGGTAATTTTTTTTTAGGTGACAACACTAACGGTTTGAATAAACGGAGCGAACTGTGTATATACCATACGTGACATAAGAATTTTGTTCCAAATATCAAATAGACAAAAGAAATCTGTAGGTTACAAAACACTTAATTTGTATGGTAGTTGTGGGCACTATGTTATTTTTCAGAAAATAACCATTGGTAATTTGCTTAACCTAGCTCCCAGATATGGTTAATTTTTTTGACCAATTGTTTAAGCTAACTATTGATCAAAAAACATATTTTTCTGATATTTAATCATTTGTCGAAGATTTTAACAAATGGTCGAGTTAACTACGTATCAAAAAACCGGCCCTTATTAACTAAATATTAACTTACTACTTATATCAGTGATTACACGTTCTTAATCATTTAAAAATCTACTTAATATATCTAGATTAAGATTCCGTAATCTGTATTAGAGATTAAAATCAAAATGATTCATTCGAATGTTACAAGAACTTGAGAAATTCGAAACTATGCTATCAGCCCTGCGATTCTGTAAAACTTCAAACCCGAATTTGAATCCACTCAGGTGTCCGAATTCACTTCAAAAAGCGGCATCCGCGCAAACTTGAATTGGTAATAATGTTTCGTGACATAAGTGAAGTGATTTTCGAAATGATATAGGATTAAAATATCTAAGACACGTTTAATCAATCAATTTTGTTTAGTATTTTTATACAAAAAATGGAATCAATAGGATTTCTTCACTAAATGACGAGAATTCGGACACATGAGTGAATTCGTATTCGGGTCTGGATTTTTACAGAATCGCAGGGCAGTTCGTAAATCTACGGGCGACCTATTATCGAGAATAGATTGGTATTACTATAGATTCTATAGTATAAAACAAATTAATTAAAAATATCACATTTATTGCATAAATATTTAACAACATCACATACATTGCTCAGATTCCAAGATGAGTAGCTAAAGCCCCCGTATTATGGAGTATCTGAGACAACGAAGGTACCACAACACCCAGACCCGAGTCAATATAGAAAAGTTCATTTTCTACATTGACCCGACCGGGAATCGAACCCGGGACTTCAGAGATGGCGACACCTTGAAACCGGCGTGCGAACCGCTCGGCTACGGAGGTCGTCAATGTAATATACTAACAACGCATTTATTAACGTTATTTGAATCTCACTAATGTTATAAACATGACAGATTCAAGGCCTGGAGGCCTCACACTTGTGTGCTTTTGAAGGTAAGTTAAGCCGCTGTTCCCAGACCAGTTCCCATCTATGTTTGTTAACACCCACCATTCCGCGGTGTCCTAGTGGGTCATGGCCCGTTCTCCCTATTCGGTAAGGGGCCGTCAATTAAGGGGGGGGTTTCGTCAAAAATCCGCATCAATATCCGTATTTATTTTTTCCTCAAACGCGCGGTTACTAAATCAAAAGAAATGCTGAAAAAACATCACGTGATTAATGAATGACCCACCACGCGGGTCCAGCGCGGATTGGTGGGTGTTCACGACTGATGCAGTCGGTACCGACGTGTCTTCGTGACTTCCGAAGACGGAATTAATTTTTTGTCACCCATCCCATAACCGGCCTTTGCGAGAGTTGCTTGACAACCAAAACAAATAAATAAATAAATAAGCTGACATTGCGTTCTTACTCGCAATAAACACTGAATGTTTGTAATCAAGCCAAATTTTATCAGATAATAGTTTTATCTAAATATAAATAGACATATACGCTTTGCACCTACGCGGGAATGAAGGTCATTGACACTGGAATGTTATTCCTATTTCTTAAAGTTGTTATTAGGGTTCCTTACCAAAAAACAGGTCAAGTGCAAGTCAGATTTGCGCATGAAGGGCAAATCTGACTTCAGAAAAGTATTTTTTTTTTTTCATATTATCATATAATAAAATAAATAAATAAAAAAGCCTTTATTATTCCATTTGGCATGTGTACAGTACATGTTAGTAGGTTATCGTTAAGTAGTCTAATGCCACCTGGACCCCTCTACGGGTGAAGGCCTCCTCCAGAGATTGCCACTTAACACGGTTTTTTGCCAGAATTGGCCAATTTCTTGTACCGAATGATTCTATTTCGTCCTTCCATCTCGCTTTTGGTCGGCCTCTGCTTCTATATCCATGGGGACCACTCCACATAGTCACAGTCTTTGTCCACCTCTTATCAGTGTAGCGTGCCACGTGGCCCGCCCACCTCCATTTCAGGCCACGAGCGAAGGACAAGACATCTATCACACCAGTCTGCTTTCTTATTTTCCCATGGCGAACCCTGTCCTTTAGCTTGATGTTTAGTGAACTACGTTCTAAGCCTCTTTGACACGATGTGAGTTTTCTTCTGGTTATGTTGTCAAATATCCACGTTTGACATCCATAAGCGAGACAGGGCAAGAGACATGAGTCCATTACTTTCTTTTTTAATTTTAAGTCCATGTTAGACTTCATAACTTCTTTGTAGCTCCAGAACTTTCTCCATGTGATTGCTATTCGCCTGTCTATTTCTTCTCTGTTGTTATTTTTGCGAAAGGAAACTTGTTTGCCTAGATAAATATATTCGTCTACATACTCAACCACATTATTGTTTATCATATATAATATGAAAAAAAATATTTTTCTGAAAACCGCGTCAAAACCTTGTTAAAGTGCGAACCACCAATTTTAGTCGGTTAATATACCTGAAACCTTCTAAGTCTGACTAATACTATGCGGAAAACCGCTATAAAGTCGGTATAGTCAAACGCGAGATAATCGCGCACAAACATACATGCAACAGATCAAACTGAGAACCTCCTTTTTTTAAGCCGGTTAAAAGACGTCCTGAACAAGTGGTAGGTGAAAAAATTTTTTTGGATGATTCAAAAGTGCTTGTAATAGCCTACTTGAATAAAGATATTTTCATTTCATTTCAAAGATGCTTTCTACTCGCTGTATGCCGAGATCTTTCAAACTACATAATTTTAATATGGTTTTCATCAATATACAGTGACCCAAGAGGAATATTTATATTATATGTACAATAATACAGTGGAAAGTTAGTTCTAAATGTATAAAAAAAATTGTAGGGTGCACTTTAAATTTTTTATTCTGTTTTTAGTATTTGTTATTAGAGCGGCACCAAAAATACATCATCTGTAAAAACATCAACTGCCTAGGTATTTATAGTTCATTAGTACAGCTTGGCGACAGATAGCAAAGTGTTAATAATAGGTCCCGTTTGGGTATGGAACCTTAAAATGGAAAATATATAATATATTGCAAAAGAAGAAAGTGCTTGATGGTGTACTCGGTCTACAATATGGTTGATAAGCAACTTTCACAATGACCGGTCATAAGATGGGTAACCAAAAATTTTTTATCTCCCTGTCCGCATGGTGGGTCTTGAGGTATTCGTACTATTTGATTCTATTAATAGGGAAAGCCTAATTATGTAAAAGCTTTTATTTAACTTGGGGTTTTACTTAATGTGGTTCAAATCTTATTAACTAAATTTCATCCACTTTTCGGTTAAACTGAAACTTTGTATACACATATAACTCAAATACAATATTAATACGGAATGTAGGTGATCTGATAATGGAGCCAAAAGTAATGGAGTATAATCAAACAAAGTTACCTGCTGAATTTCAGCTAGTTTGATATTTTTTGACGATGACTTTGGTTCAAGATAATGTCCAGGGTGTCAAAACTAGAAGCTGGCGATGGGGACATTGTAATTAAATAAAGTAACCATGTAAATTTTGGGTATGTTTGATTTTCATATATGTGATCTCTGGTTCAAGAAAAGCTTCTTTTGAATTATATTCCTTCTTTATTAATATTACGGTATACTTGGCAAAACTTTGATGATGTTACATAATTATTTACGTATCTACTACATTATTTCTTTCATTTGTTACGTACTTGGCAGCCAATTTGCCACGTCTAATGATTTTGGCAAAGTCATACTAGAGTCAGATCATTTGTAATGTCACTAAAGGTTTTTTCTACAAAAACACACGATATACCGCTGCCAATTATGTTATGCAATATTTGTAAAGGTGTGTGAATGTTCTTTAAGGTGATTTACATTAGAGGCTAATAAGTTGTAGGAAGAGATTAAAGTTCATATTGAAGTTAAAATAAAAAAAAAAGATAATCATTCCAAACACATAATTACTTTAAAAGTAAGTATGATCTTTATTCAGCAGACAACCTTTCAATGGACAGGACTACACAACAATTATAGAACAGGATTCAAATTAATAGGATACAATTCCTTCAAAAACAAATCTGGTAAAATTCTTATTGAAATATTTTTCATTAAGAATCTTTTTAGAACTTTGTTTTTATGACATTATTTAATGTATAGTAACTGGCATGAAAGTAAACTATTTTAATTCTTAGTGTAATAATAAAAATTATTTCTGTAAAAAAAACTACCTCTTCATATATCTACCTACAATATAACTTATGTAATTAATTTTAATGGATTGTTTTGAACTGCTATATTTAACACTGTTTCCATATGGAAATCACAATAGGCATGTGAAAGGTACGAAATATATGTGTAACATGCAATTCAAGGTTGTTGTTGTGCAAAAGAAAAACAGTTATTTTGGCGCCATTTTATGTTTTACTTATTGATATCATTTTTTTTTTATCATAATGAAGCAAATCGATCAAAGCTGACTATGATAAATCTTAATTAAAAAAATAAATAGGATATAACGAATGACTTACAAACAGCTGTTGTAGTTGTAGGTTCAAGGTCACATAAAAACACGGACGTTCTGTTACCAACTCGACGTTTCAAGTGTATCTGAATCAACAAATTCGTAGAAAACAAACAAGGGAACGATGCCAAATTATTTATAGTGACGCAACTATGTGTTACTTATATCAAACCAACTGTTTAAATACAAAAGATTTTACATTTCAGATCACTCGATATCAAAATTCAATGTTATGCACTAATTGTACGGATTACACATTACCAAGGTGCACTAATTTTTGCGTTCACAAGTAACTACGGTTTTAAATGCCGTAATAAGTACATTTCTTTATGATATTGATAATTTATTTCCAAACAAATTTCACTAAAATTCGGTTGAAAACTGACTTTTGTAGTGTTATGTTGCCATGCTAAAAAATGATAGGTTTTCTATTTAAAAAGTCGTCCACATGGTTGGTAGAAAACTTGAACTCCGACCAACCTTGAAACTCCGAACAACTTGATGGCAACCTAACTACGAAACAGTAAAAAAGAGTAAAAGTCACAAGTGGGCGTGTGTTATTGTAGCATAAAAAAAAACTGTCATCAATTATTAAATATTATATTCTTAATTAAATCATCTTATTAAAATTTTAGCAGTCAACAAGAAACGTCCGTTCGAAACGAACAGCAAGATTATAACTTTGAATTTCAAAATCACAAAGACACATACAGTTATTATACTATCGTTACTGAACTTCAATGTCGACGGCGGACGTCGAGCCAGGTTTTATGTTAATTCGTACGGTGGGTAATGCTTTTTGGTTCTCATAATATCATTGTCAATAATAGATTGACTTCCTACTTAACCTACTCTAGATATCAGTGTTATTGAAATATATTACTTATTAAGTACCTAGAATAGTCATGCGGTTGTGTAGTGTGACAAATTGCACATAAAAATAGCTGAATTTTGCTCTCCGCTTTGTTCTTGATTCCAAACCTGATTCGGATGAATCAAGTCGATTAAAGTTACGAGCAACCAATAAGTTGGCTCATCACTAATATTAACATATAAACCAAACATCGTTCCTTTACACGTAACATAATAAATAACTTAAACTTACGATTCAAATAAAATAAAATAAATTTGAAAGTTACATATTATAAGAAACACGAAACGATGTCATATTGATTAATTTTCGATACTCAATTTGCTTCTATTACATCAGAAACAAAATTTGAATGAATATCATAGACAATTATCTGACAAATCGCTTGTAACAGCTAGTTTGATTTCAAGAACTCATTTTTATTTTTTAAATACTTCTTCATTTCAAAACCAAACAGTATATTATTGTCTGAAACACTTTATTCTTAAGTGTGAAAAACTTTACTACCTACTCGGTGTTGTGAAGTTTCAGGCCGAAATCCATAAGTGCAACACCAATAATTAAAAAGAAGCAGAAACATTGTTTTTTTTTTATAGTCATGCCGATTCACTTGAAAAGAAATCGATCTCTGAATCGATTCGAATCGAACATACTAGTATCTATTTTCGATTAATTCGAGCATTAAAAGATCGGTATTCGATTAATCACGAATTTCTCAATCAAACATGCCTTATATAGACACAGAGCGTTATTGATGACATTTTATCGTTAATACAAGTAATGCAGGAATTGTATGAGACCAATCAGGCACTTTGTTATAATCAGAGGTCGGAATTAGGTAGAGTTATTTATGTACTTGCATCGAAATGTTGATATTAATGTGGACCTTCCCGGGATTTCTAATGGACAATCTTGGACATCCGATGTCATTGATGTACGTTTGGCAACGTCGTGCGTGCAGTAGTTTAAATTGTGTAAAAGTAAATAACTTTTTATTTAAAAAATCACGGGATTTTTTCTGCTCTTTAAAATTAATCTCGGGATTTGAGGCATATCCACTTTATTCTGTCGCTGTATGAAATCAGTGTAAGTACATGAATAACTCTACCTAATTCCGACCACTGGTTATAATAGATGGGTGACGTATGGCTGATTCCACGAGCTGGAGTAACAGTGACAGTAGTTATAGCTATACTATACTGACATTCGAATGCGTTGATAAATATTTATTTTATGCGTTCAAATTATCAATACGTCCGACAACAGCAAAATATATAAAAAAAAACACTAAAAATATCGTATCCAATTTAGGAATTTTATATTTCTTGAATTGAATTGGTCCGGTTCGAGGGGTTCATGCATTGATTCGAGAATCGGTGTACCATTCCTGATTGATCTGAAAAATCGATTATTTTATTCTAAATAATCGATTATTTGATTAATCGGTCTCAGATCGACATGCCTAATTGTTGTTTGTTTATATTTTCCATTTAATAAATAACCTTATATAAATTTAAAATATGTCTATACAAGTGGAAAATAATTTAAGGAATAGCGATAAAGAGGTGTTTGAGCAACGAACTCACTATATTCCATGCAAAATCGAAGAGGATGGTGAAGCAAACGTAAAGAAATACTTTGAACCATACATCGTAGAAAATAACGGAGGTAAGTCTTTAAAATAGGTAATAATAATGCTCGTTTGAGGAGCTCAACATCGCAGAGATCAGAAGTCAACGGTGGTTAAGCAACCAATCATAGGATGGTGACCAAAATTTTGATATCTCGACCTCCTACTTGGGAAAGCATGTTAAGTAACTGACTAACTAGTCAAGGCTGCATTTTTGTCGTTAACACCCACCAATCCGCACTGGGCTGGTTTGATGGGTTAGTTTTTATCTGGATCTCTAGGAAAGGCCTTTGCCTGAGCATTGGGGACATCAATAGGCTGATGATGAATGATTCAATTCCATATTATACTATTGTTCGAGTATTGGTGGTGTGCAGTCTGTTTCAGCTACTTTTACAGTTCCATAACTAAAGGGAACAATATTATAAGATTTCGCTGACTGTCTGCCACCAGGGTGTAGCTCATGAACTGTGAAAGTTAGGCAGTTGAAATATTCACAGATGATGTACCTATTTCTGTTGCTGCGTCAACAACAAATATTAAAATCCAAAATAAAATAAATATTTAAGGGGGGCCCAGTCTTTAGTCGCACGGCGGGCTTTTCCGCAACTCAACACTCTGTGCCTATTTTGCGTGATATGGGTTGGCATCAGTCCTGCCACCCCAGCTCCTCCAGGAACCCCATAAGTTCCCGAACTCTGCCGCATGCCTCTACTAGTGTCCTTGGGTTACCTAGATATGTAGCCCTTTGTCTTGATAGGCCTCTGCATTCCAGTATAAAATGGGCACTTGTCTCTTCAGCCTCCATGCACGCCCTGCTCAGAGGACTATCAGAATTACCCATATTATAAAGGTGTTTGTTAAAGTTTCCATGTCCAGTTAGTATACATACTATTTGGCTTAGAATTTGTCTAGGTAATTTGTTCAACTTATGTGCTAGACATTGGTCTACCTTCGAAATTGCTTCTTTGGTTTGCTTGCAGTCTGCCGTTTGTGACCAGTATTCATCATGTTGTCGTAAGCTACGTTCTCTTACCCAGTTTCTGAGCTGTCGAAATGGGATGGGTATAGTGGGTTCCGGTCCGATGGGTTTCCTGCTGGACCCCTCTCTAGCCAAGCAGTCTGCTGCATCATTACCCCTCGACCTTCGACCCCAGGGGGGCCCATACAACAGACGTTTTTTTACAGTAAAGACCCTTACATATTTGTGTCTAACTTGCAATGGGCCTGGGTTTTTTTTACAGCTACAATACTAATGGTAAATATTTTAACTTTTCATGTAGTGTTCATTCATTTATAAATTTTTATTAATTGAACAAAGTCTTAGAAATTGTGTGATAAACGGTCAGTAACGAATATACAAAAAAAAAAAAAATTCAAAAAATTGACTCGTTCATATATTTCACAGATCTTAAGGCGACATTTCGTGGTCATCCTCTAAATGGAACGAACATCTCGTTGCCTGAAGGTTACCAGGCTGTTGTAGTTACTGAAACTAAGAGACCTCTAGCTGAAGATGCAAATAGGAAATTTCAGGTATGTAAAATTGACTGTGCAATGGATTATCTAAGTGACATTTTTTGGTGATATTGAGTTGTCTCCAAATATCTCTATTTTCCACGAGAGCTTCCTAGGCAATCCACATATTGGATCTTCTTTTAACACACCGTGAAGCCTATGAAGAACTAAAAGCTTCTGCACTTTTGGGCAGAGTTAGGTAGGTTGTAATAATAATAATAGTTTATTTGCAAGAATATGGTACAAATGATGTTACACAGTTATTAACAATAGTTTCTCACATTCTACAGTATATGAACAGTGTGCAAATATTTTTAATATTAAATGTTGTTACATGAAAAAAGAGAATAATGTTTCAGTTAAGATGATGTCAATATTTAATAATTAACCATTCAACCATAATAATCTATTTACAATTATCATTACAAATGTCAAATTATATGTCATTTAAATTTAAATTTAATTACCAATTTTATCCATTAAGAAATCATTAATATTATACAGTGGAACCTCTATAACTCGAACCTTGCTAAGTCTTAATCCTCAGTAAGTCGAAAATAATTTTTATTCCCTTCCGCTGAACCCCCCAATCCGCAATATCTCGAATTATTTAAACTTTATAACTCGAAATTCAAAATACAGACTCCGTAAGTCAAAATTAGTAAAATATAATGACGACGAACTTGGAATTCCCCGATCTCATAGCAATAAAATCCAAAAAAATGTTCGGGGTAGCAATGGGCGATTGTTGCAAAAAACTAGACTTATACATTTGTATGTAATTTCTTTTGATAAATTTTGTACCATAAAATATTAGAGAAATATTATATCGAAGCGCCTTTCTATGTCAAAATTTTAGTTAAATCATTTGTATCTCTAAATTCTTGTTAAGTCGAAAACTCTTCTTCTTCTTCTTTTTTAATTCATGGCCTATTTGCATTTACATAATTCCGCCAATGTCACGTTTGTGGTCTTTACACGTATAAATAAAATAAAAAAAATAGCTCTGAGCGCGTCTATCTGATTACATTGTTAAATATAATACAAATAGAATGTATATAGAAAACAAAGATATTTATAAATTAAGACTATTATTGATTGCAAAGAATTTAGATAAAATTTTGAATGGGCTGGGATTCTCCATACTCAAGATACATTTTATATTTGTTGGACGTGGAACTTTTGATGGTAGCAAATCATAAAGTGAAATGGATAAATTTGAACAATTAAATAAAATATGATCCGTAGTTCCTTCCTCAATGCCATAATCGCAGAGGAGGTTGTCTTTAATTTTAAATTTGGCAAGTCGAACTGGGGTACACACATGTCCAATTCTCAGGCGACAAATAATTGAAATCGTTTTTTTGCTTAAAAGCTTTTCCTTAAAGAACCAGGGAGTACTGGGGATAGTTCTCTGAATGTCAAAATAATACTTTCCTGCTCTATTTCTAGTATTTTCCCAAAAAACATTCCATGACCTCATTAAATGTTCATGTGCTAGTACAAAGAGATTGTGATGAGAAAGTTTGGAATATTTTAAAGAGCCAGTTATAACAGCTTGCTTAGCACATGCATCAGCTGTCTCGTTCCCAGGAATACCACAGTGTCCCGGTATCCATGCGAGGGTAATGAGCAGCTTCTTAAGATGGCACCTATACAATGCTTGTCTTATTTTAAATATTATTGGAAATTTATTTTTAGAACGAAACGGATGTCGGAAATTCATTTACACGAAATTTTTGGCATTTTCCTTGACATTCGAGCTATCGAGATTCCACTGTAATACATTTTATTTATTAAATATTCAAGCAGTTGTTTTCGGAACTACGTTAAAGTCATGTCAGTGAGGTGTTATGGCAGCTTATTGTAAATACGTATAGCCATACAAAAAGCTTTTTTGAAATAAAGAATCAATCTTTGTGGTGGCACACATGATATATCTTTATATCTACCCCTATATAGCTATTACCATTCACTTCAAATAGAACCATATACTTTTTTACAAATTTTGCTATTTTATAAATATATAGACAAGGCAAAGGAAAAATATTCAAATTTTTAAAAAGTGGCTTACACAAGTCCGAAATCCAGCACCACATATAGATCTTATACATTTTTTTGTAACTTAAAGACTTTGTCACTATCAACGAAGTTTCCCCATAAAATAATGCCACACCGTAACAATGATGCTACACATCCATGATAGCCTGTTATAGCTGCAGTTTTAGATACAGTTTATCTTATTCTTCTTAGCACAAATACAAATCTGTCAAATTTAAGCATCATTGAGTATATATGTATTTTCCAGTTACATTGATCATCAATTGTTATACCCAGAAATTTTGTCATATTTGCTTCATTGATTTTTTTTAATATTACAATTATTAATATCTTCATTAATATTACAATTTTTAAATAATATATATTTATCCTTATCTAAATTTACTTTTAACCATTCCATCATCTTACAGAAGGATTTATGTTACAGAGGGTAGTAGTAACAGTCAACTTTTCATGCAAAACGGACCAATTGAAGCGTCTAAGTGCAGAAAACTTAAGGCCCCTTACCTAATCTAATCTTCCAAGGGAGTTTTCACAAAATTACTAGTGTCTGAACTACTACTAACTGATTTATCTGTTAAAATTTTTGACCTTACCTTAATTTAATTTAGTTTTACTTTAGTTTATTTTTTATCACATATAAATTTGTTCTATTGATAGGTCGACCTATCAGTAATTTCTTTACTTGATTGTTTAGCTAAATTTCAAATATTTATGTACAGTAGGGGAATGAAAAGGTTCGTCCAATTCCAAATTCCTTTGAAGTTGCAAACACTAATTACCTTATGAAATTAAGTTCCAAAATATAATGCTGCATAGAAAACTATGCTTAAGTCATTGATGATAAGGGGCCGTCCATAAATTAGGTCACACAAAATTCATGATTTTTTAATATTATTATAATTAGTTATTTTGTGCGATCTGGAGCCCAAGCTAGGGCAACCCTGTAATTCAGGACTCCAGGTCCATGTGTGTGTGCGTGTGCGTGCGTGCATACGTGTGTGTGTTTTGGCAAAACATGATGCGTATGGAATATTAAGAATAGAGCAAATGTATTTTTTAGGTGGCCGGTGGTTTCAAAGACTTCATCTACTGGAATTGGGATAAGAAACCTTCCAAAAATGATAACTTCGTTAAAGCTATGGACTGGATTGATATAGCTGAAGTGGTACGTATCACTACATAGTATAAAACAAAGTCGCCTTCTCTGTCCCTATATCCGTATGTATGCTTAAATCTTTAAAACAACGCAACGGATTATGATGCGGTTTTTTTTCATAAATAGGGTGATTCAAAAGGTAGGTTTTTATGTATAATACAAGACCACGTCCGCGTATTCCATTATTTCTTCGCTCCTAATAGTTGCAGCGTGATGTTATATCCTAAAGCCTTCCTCGATAAATGGTCTATTTAACACAAAAAGAATTTTTCAATTCGAACCAGGAGTTCCTGAGATTAGCACGTTCAAACAAACAAACTCTCCAGCTTTGTAATATAAGTACAGATTATATATTTATAATCAAAAAGCATAAATATTTGATTATCGGTAATAGTATATTAAACATTACCAGAAAAAAAGATATTCAAATGAAAGTATCGATTTTATAAAATAATCTTAGGTTCCTGTTTTAGGTACAGGTGTGTCATAAATATTACCAATATCGGTTCTTATATCATTCAAATTCATGTTTGTTCATGCTCTAAGATACAAAAGATATAATAAATGTATTTAAAATAAACAATAAATATAGTTAAACATTATAGCATAATTTAAAGTAAATTGTTCATGTACTTACATAATATAATTAGTTCCAATTTGGAATAATAGATGGCACTAACCAATTGTGAATCGCGGTATAGCTTCATTTTCACAAAATTAATATTATACGGATGTAAGACTCCACTGTCGTCCGCCTTTTGTCACCAGATTAGAGAATCCTGATAGTTAGTCAATTCAAATTTTTACACATAACGAACTTCTGTTGTCGGTTTACTAGAAAAAAAAAAACTAAAAAACAGGACAAAATAAAAATTTAAGGGGCTACAACAGTGATATTTTTGCCTTTTAAGTAGATACGTACGTATGGAACTACGTGCGCTAGTCCGAATTGAATTAGGCCGATTTTTTATATCATCAGCTCAGGCATTCCTTGTAGATGGTTAAGGAGGAGGGCCATGACCCTCCACGTTAGCCCTAAGCGGATTGGAGAGTTTTAACGACTGCAAATGCTGCCGGTACCAACGGCTTAATGTGCCTTCCGAAGCACGGGGTAGCTAGATTTTTTTTTCGGTCACCCATCCGGTGACCCTAGCGAAAGTTGCTTCACATAAACGATCGCGGGCTGCGGTGCTTATCCTCTACGCCACCATGCTACTTATAGATATTTTATATACATGAAATTAATACATAATCGTTCATTTCAGATACATGGAGACTGAATCAACTTACCTGTTAGTGAATAAGATTGTAATATTAGTTTTTAAGTATGTAATAAAATAAAAGGCATTGTTTAATTAAAGTGTTTTTATTAATAAATTTGTTAACATTGACAGAGAAAAACTCGAGTAATACGTTATATTTTTCTATTTGAAAGAAAACTAATGAAACAAAACATATATCCTAAGTTTTCCAATTATTAGGTTTTTAAAATAGTTTTTATTAAAAGTTCCATAAGTAATATGATTTTGTTTCTGTTATTAACTTGAACGAGATCCAATAATCTTATTATATAATTTACTCAACTTTCGCAAACATAAAATAAGTTTCACGAAATTATTTTTTTAGTTTTTAAGCAAGCAGTTATGCAAAATGTGAAGACTGCGCTTTATCAACAAATATTAATTTTCATTTTACTTTTTAATAATTAAATTAGTTGTAGTTTCGGAAAAGAATAGTCCCCCCCCCCCCCTCGTTGATAGACAACTGCTGTAAATACACAATTATTGCACTAAAACTGTTGAAGTAGAGCCTCTACAATTGCACTAACAAGTATTGCTTGCTATTTTATCTCTCATTTTATTCTTGATTTCACATCTCCTTTTATATTCTTCTCTGCTCAATTGTATTTTCCTAACATATTTTACTTGTTTAATTCTATTCATCGCCACTTTCCTGGCAACACTTCGTTTATTACTACTCATTTCAGTGTTGCTAGAACCAATTTCGTTACTACTACTGACTTTGGTAGTTTTATCCGTATTATTATTTTGATTAGCAACATCGTTATTAAAATGCAACCCGAAATCACTTCTCGATTCCAAATCTTTGAAATCGTTCACGTTTTCCCGATCCATTTTATTGTATATCTTCAGGAATTGCCAGAATTCTATGTCGCCGCCTTTTATGTTGTTTTCGTAGAAGGCTTTTAAGGCAGGATCGCATTTGTGTTTGTTAACTATAGGTCTAGGTTTGGCGTGACGATTAGAATTGTCAGGTGGCAATTCTGGCACTTCTTTCTCTTCAGGCAATTCTTGGGGTTGCTTGTGTTTCCACTTCTTAGGCTTAAAAGGTTTAGCATTAGGATCATGCCTTCTCATATGCAGAGTAAGAGCAGACAGGTTCTGACAGATTTTCTCGCATCCATTACATGGATACAACATCTTCACGTTATTCCTCTTCGCTTCCAGACTAATCTTCTTCATTCTAACCAAATAGTTTTCTTTCTCGTTCTGTTTCAATTTTGGCACGACGTGATTGGTCAAGTCTATTTTTTCAGTTTCCACAATCCAAGAGTCGCCTTTCCTAACCAACTTTCGTTTCAGCAGACTCTTGTCTTTGATTTCTCTGTTTCTCTTATCTAGATCCATGCAGGCTTTTTTATTTAAAATTTTTATACTCGGTATAATCTCTAGTTTTTTGATAGATTTATTGTCTAGATCGAAATAGTAACGTGAACCGTTTTCATTTACTTTCTTATCTTTGATACGCATAAATGAAAAGTTTATGTTGACGTCGTGTTTCAATAGCATGTGCCTTTTTATGTTGTGGTGTGTTACAAAAGTGCATAGTGGACATTTTTTTAATGTTATTTCGTTGCATACGTCGAAATGTTCTTTGCAATGTTGTATTAATTGCGGCTTTGTTTCGAATAACTGGAATATAATTAAGACTTTAGAAGAAGAAAAAGCATCAAAACCCTGTTGAATTTCGTACAATGGACCCTGCATTACATAAAAAAAGTTACTGGTTTCGGTGGATCGTATTCCCAAAATGCGTCCAAAATGTGAAGATCTAACGATGGAAATTGGCGCCCTATTTTTATTTCACGCCTACGTAGACCCCGTTGAATCCCTCGTGCACCCCTGGGGGTCCACCTAGACCGCTTAGGGAATCACTGATCTAGACAATTTTGTCACAATAAAGTGAATCTGTTTACGACTATAGTTCTGATGATACGAAGATTAAATACAAAAGGGAAAATTTTCTGCGATTTTGAACTTCATTTTGAAGAGATTAAGGCATATAATCGACTGGCGAAACTTTGACATTTATGGGAAATTTGATGCATATTTAGTCATTTAATTGTCAATGAATTAATAATTATGTTAGCTAAATTTAATTTTCTTGTAATTATAGTCCATGATATTATAACAAAAAAGAAAAATTACCTTATAACACACGTAGCATTGGTGGGAGTTGAATTTAATCTTAGAATTTGTACTATTTTGCTTCGTATTAGGATCTTTTTCTTTCTCTCTACATGTGTTATTCTCTCTATCTTCCGTTTCTTCAGATACACATTTCTTTTTGTGGGTAGTTTTACATTTTCTATTAAGTTTAGCTTTTTTAATATCTGCAATAAACGATATTTAATATATTGTAGTAATTTTATAAAAGGCAGTTTTATTTTTCTTAAATGGCAACGCTACTCGACCCCGTCACGCTTTTGTGACAACTTCCGGTGAAACGGCGTTTGTTTATTGAGTCGGAACTCGACAGTCGTTGGGTACCCATTAAGGTGTTAAGTAGTTAAGTTGGCTAGTTGGCCGATAAAAGTGTTTAAAGTGGAATAAGAGTATTTACAGCGCTGTGAATTGGAGTTTTTATGATAATATATAAGGAATGCCAGTTGTGGAACAGAACCAATTTGGACTTTAATAGCGAGATAGGATTGGCAGTTTCAAAAATTAATTGGCAATAGGGATGACGACTCATTTTTGTTTGTTTGTTCGTCAGGTAGAGTGTTAAAAAATATTAAACACGTATTTTTTTATTTTTTATCGTAATCATAAAATTACGGCGTTACATTGAGTTGAAATTTCGCATGACGTCACGTTATGGTACGTTTTCTAATCAACTGTGACGTAGCGAGCCCCCACTCCTCAACTTTAATGCCTGTTATCTAAGCTATTTCTTGTTGAATTTAAGTAAAAAAAAAAATACGTATCTTATATTTTTCTATTATCTGACTGACGGACTAAATAGAATTGCATTTTTTACCCAGTCCAGTATCCCTATTTTAGATGTTTTTAACTTACTTCAAAATCCGAAGGAGGTCTTCGATTACTATATGTTTTTTCATGCATTTCCGGATGATTTAGTGGCTTAAGTCTTATAACCTGATTCGACATACTTTTATTTTATAATAAAAACTAAATTAATATATATAAATATGTACATATTCCCTTTTGAGTATAGTTTGTGCAACAGAATCAATACCATTTGTTTTTTTATATATTTACCTTCCATGCTATCTTTTAATGTTATATTTCTTTCCCATTCCTCTTTCTCTTCTCCCTTTCTTTTCTGCTTCTTCCTCTTTTTCTTCTTCTTTTTTACAGACGTCTCTTTCTTTTTTTCCGTTTGTGTAATCACTTCACCGTTCACTTCTATACTGATGTCTTTGAAGAGGAACTTAGTTATTTCTGTAAAAATAATATATAAGATTTTATTAGGACTTAAAATTTATATTCGACTGTTATTTTTTATTAAAATTATAATTGTTAAGAAATAAATTGTAAGCATATTTTATCTTCGCGAAATTAACTTTCCGAACCGAAACGCGGGCGGCCATGACGGAGCATCTGTGACGTCACATTTCAATATACTAAACGTCTTTATTGCGAGTCCAACCAGTAGTCATATATATTGAAATGTGACGTCACGTGACTGGATTGTTTTCGCAAGGCAATTTAATGTTTTTCATTGATTTAATAACACTTTGGCAAAAACTAAATCTGATAGTGATTTATTATAATCATGTGAAAGTTTTAATATTCTTTTCCTTAAACAGTCTAATAGCCAATAGGGTTGTGAACGACTTTTTAGATATTTTTATTTTATAAAAATACACGAAATATGTAAAAAAGTATCATTCATATAATAAATTAAAATTTAATTATTATATTTGATCAATTTCGCATACTGAAAAATATTCTTAATGAAAAAAAAATATACATTTTTTTTTTTATAATTATTCTGGTAATGTTTAATATACCATTACCGATAATCACAATTGCATGCTTATTATATATGACTGAAGGTGGCGCTGGCGTGGGAAATTTTGAAAATTAAATTTTATATTAATGAAAAATGAATCCACTTTGTTATAATAATAATAATAATATATATTACCATCAACGTGTACCCTCTGCAATTTTTTTCCGTAATTAGTCTCCTTTGGGACAATACCATTCTTAAAGTTGGACTCGTCTATCAACTCCTTTATACGGGTTTTCAGTAAATCCTCAGTCTCATGGTCGGTTTCTGTTCGAAAAAAAAACACCTCTTTTATTATCGTTTTAAATCATTCCTTATTACATATTAAACGCATTACATTAAGATTACGGAGAAATTTACCGAATTTATCTATAAAAGAAAATCAAAATTAAAGTATAAAATTCCACAAGCGCGCGAAAAAACGTTCTGTCATACGCAAGTAATTATATAAACCTTATCAAAAATCAATGATGGAAAAAACACCCCAAAAATCATAAAACGCGCAATACCAGGGCGGCCCGACCAAGAAAACAATCATCATCAGCCCTTTTATGTCCCCACTGCAGGGGCTCAGGCCTTCCTTATGGATGGTTAAGGAGGATGGGCCGTGAACCTCCACGCTGGCCCAATGCGGATTGGAGGGTATTAACGACTGCAAATGCAGCCGAGACCAACGGTTTGCCTTCCGAAGCACGGAGTAGCTCGAGATAATCATTTTTTGGTCACCCATCCCGTGACCGACCCTTGCGAAAGTTGCTTAACAACAACGATCGCGGGCCGCATCGCTAATCCACAACGCCACCGAGTTAAAGAAAACAAAGAAAATAAAAACATGTTTTACTTTTCTATTCCCTTGTCTCAATGCAATGGCACTTGACATACGATTAAATAAAGAATCTAGCCCTCGAATGACAATGAATTAGTTTAAATTCTACCCTCAAATCTCAGTCAGGCCGTGAACTTTTTAAACCAACCCTAGGTTAACATACTACCCTCAAAAATAGCTAAGAACTTTTAAAAGTTCTCATATCGTACAGTTGTCAACTACAAACGTCAGGCAGCCATATTAGCGTGTGACGTCATCGGAGATCCGTTTCCATCAGACATGGCGGATAAAATAAATACAAATAAATAAATATATAACAACATCACATACATTGCTCAGATTCCATGATGTGTAGCTGAAACCCCCGTATTATGGAGTGTCTGAGACAACAAAGGTACCACAACACCCAGACCGGAGACAATAAAGAAAAGTTCATTTTCTACATTGAACCGACCGGGAATCGAACCCGGTACTTCAGAGATGGCGACCTTGAAACCGGCGTGCGAACCACTCGGCTACTGAGGTCTTTAGTCTGAGAGGAATTAGGTAGAGTTATTCATATACAGCGAAAGAATAAAGTGGATATGCCTCAAATCCCGAGATTAATTTTAAAGAGCAGAAAAAATCCCGTGATTTTTTAAATAAAAAGTCATTTACTTTTACACAATTTAAACAACTGCACGCACGACGTTGCCAAACTTACATCAAGGAAAGAAAGAAATAAAGAAATCCCGGGAAGGTCCACATTAATATCAACATTTCGATGCAAGTACATAAATAACTCTACCTAATTCCGACCTCTGGTCATCAATCAAGTACAAAATATACTTTATTTCTTTTGAAATAAAGTAAAATATGTTGCCCACGATTTTTAATATATATTTAATGTTGTCAAATACCCTATTGTAAAAGCATTTCATTACGTGATACACAAGCAGAAAACAAGACTTAATTTAACAAGGTAAGATCTGTTTTTGGTTCTTGAGAAAAGCATGATGATAACTTTACTAATATTTTGTAATTTAAATTATTTTATGTTTCGGCTTTAGTTTTGAAATGTGTAATTTTGGCTGTAATTTTAAAATGCATGTTTACTTACATCTAGAAGGTTACAATCCAGTTTCTTTTGTGTGAAAATAGGGATGATGACTAATTTTTGTTTGTTTGTCCGTCATGTAGAGTGTTAAAAAATATTAGACACGTATTTTTTTATTTTTTTCGTAATTATAAAATTACGTCGTTACATGGAGTTGAAATTTCGCATGACGTCACGTTATGGTACGTTTTCTACTCAACTGTGACGTAGCGAGCCCCCACTCCTCAACTTTAATGCCTGTTATCTAAGCTATTTCTTGTTAAATTGAAGTAAAAAAAAAATACGTATCTAATATTTTTCTATTATCTGACCGACGGACTAAATAGAATTGCATTTTTTTCACCCAGTCGTCATCCCTATTGTATTGTTTGTATTTTTGGTTGTAATCAGTTTTGTAAGTCGAAAAAAAAAACTTAACATTTTATTACTGAAAATCATAATATTTATTTTTGTGAAATTACATAACTTAGTTTTCATAATCAAAATCGTGTTTTTTTTATAGACAACTCTTACCTTCCTCTTGTAACTCTGTATCTGATATGACATGTTGTAGAAACTCATCGACTTGCATAGATCTCCGTGGGCTCTCTGCTTCACAAGATCTCTCTTTGGTTTCTTCTATACATAAAATAAGATCAATTCTTTTTAAACCCACACATACCACCGCTTGCAAGAAGACCGATTCATTCTTTGCAAGTGGCGGTATGTGTGGGCAATTCCCACATATACAGTGTCTTTGTGTGCGTGACAAAAAGTACAGACGAACACAAATTACTACATAGTATAAAACAAAGTCGCCTTCTCTGTCCCTATATCCGTATGTACGCTTAAATCTTTAAAACTACGCAACGGATTTTGATGCGGTTTATTTTCATATATAGGGTGATTCAAAAGGAAGGTTTTTATGTATAAACAAGAGCACGCGGGCGGAAAGCTAGTATAGTTATAAAAACAAATTGAAGATAAAAAAAGTTATAATCATCATCAGCCCTTTTACGTCCCCACTGCAGGGGCTCAGGCCTTCCTTATGGATGGTTAAGGAGGATGGGCCATGACCCTTCACGCTGGCCCAATGCGGATTGGAGGGTATTAACGACTGCAAATGCAGCCGGGACCAACGGCTTAACGTGCCTTCCGAAGCACGAAGTAGCTCGAGATAATAATTTTTTGGTCACCCATCCCGTGACCGACCCTTGCGAAAGTTGCTTAGCGACTACGATCGGCGTTTATCACTAAGCCATCGACCTACTTAAAAAAAAAAGGTTATAATAAAAAAGTTAAATTAGTATAGATTATTTTGTTTGACAACAAAGTTAGAGTGATCTGCTATGATTGATAAACATGGTTGCATAAAAATAACTTAATTTGGTTAATTTTTTTTTTACTCATTACTAAAATTCGCTACTGGAAAAATTAAACTAGGAATTTTCTGATTCGCTGCTCTCAACAAAGGTTAATTAAGAAATTCGATTCCATATCAAAAAAACATCTCCGTAAATAACAAGACATTTCCGCTAGCGACTGTACCCGTACAATAAAGCTGTAAGAGCACGCGTTACTTGCACGAGACCGCCAGTGAAAAATTACAATAAATGTTATATTCAAGACCAGTTAAATATGCTTAATTACAAAATTCTGTTGAAGGCTGATATCATGATTTTATATGAGGAAGTATTTAAAAAAAATAAGTTCCCGAAATCAAACTAGATGTCGCTACGGTACGTTCTTGATTTCTCCATGACAACCATTCCGGTTTTCTTTAATGTATAAAACGAAATTAATTTTCAAAACTCAATAAACAACTCATATTCTATTTGCACTTTTTCGTATTTGTATTGATATCTAAGTTTCGAACTTTGCAAATTTCAATTTTTTAAAATGTTAGTTAAAAGGAACGGAAATTACTATCTTTGGTCCATTCGTTTCCTGCAAAAATCTACTTTTGCTAGAGTCGCCATCTAGTAGAGGTGATTTTCTTAGTGTTTTCCTTTTTTCTTAAAGTACTTCCTCACGGGGGTACAAAAGTAAAGGTATTAAAAAATCAACTATTTAAAAAGAAAAAAAATTAAGATACAGAAAACACTATCTATAGATGATTTGAACTATCTATACAAAATAATAACAAAATACAATAACAGTTTACCTTCTCCACGAATCTCAGTATCGGACATTAAGTTTTGTATGAATTCATCCACGTGCATTTTTCTTAAATCCTTGTTTTCTTGCGATATAGTCTCAGATTCCTTGGATTCTATAGATAACTGTTCTTTTGTCTTGAATACCGTTCCACGTTCGTCTGAAACGGAATAAACTTCCATATAATATCATCGGCTTCTCATCGGTGTCACTATTTATTCGAGTAAATGTCACTATTTGGTCGTGTAGATGTCACTATTTGGTCTGATAAATGTCACTATTTGGTCTGATAAATGTCACTATTTGGTCTGATAAATGTCACTATTTGGTCTGATAAATGTCACTATTTGGTCTGATAAATGTCACTATTTGGTCTGATAAATGTCACTATTTGGTCTGATAAATGTCACTATTTGGTCTGATAAATGTCACTATTTGGTCTGATAAATGTCACTATTTGGACTAATCTTCTAATTGATGTCACTAGTTATTCGAGTAGATGTTATTAATTGGTTGTGTAGATATCACTATTTAGACTAAAATAGCTTTTTAAGTTGTCATTACTTGGGAATATGACGCCTTGTGATAGTCATATAATGGAAGTGATCGATTAATGTAAGATATGATTTATTACCCGACAATAACACATTCATCTTAACATATGCATTTCAGCTAAAGTAATGGTCAATCTTTTAAAAAAAATAGGTTTTCTGTAGGTTATTAACTAAATGATAGGCGCCAGACTTCAATAGCATTGTGTTGAATAAGTAGCTTTTGTGATAAGTATTATTTTTCACAATTTTTTTTTAAGTTTGACGTTAGTTCAATTTTTTCCAAATTGTTTTTATTGAATGCTTTTTAGTTATATTAATATTTTTTATATAATAGATAACACTACAAATACATATCTGAAAAGCGCGTTAAAACTGTGTCAAGTGCGAACCTCATTTTTTTTAGTCGGTTAATATACCTAAAACCTTTTCCAAGTCAGACACATACAATGCTGAAAACCGCATCAAAATCGGTTCAGCCGAAATCGCACACAAACATTCATGAATACAGGCCAAATTGAGAACCTCCTTTTTTCGAAGTCGGTTAAAAGCATATAACTCACTTTTATGTTGTTTGTCAACATTTGAAGTGGCTTCCTGTGGAACTTCTGCGTTTGCTGTAGAATCTACCTGCACCTCTTCTATATTTCGAGATGCTGTTGACGTATTGAATTCTTCTACTTTTTCTGTTAAGGCAACAAATAATGCGTACAAAATATGCATATGGAAACTAATAAAAAAAACGTTTTTTTTTTAAGGGATATGGGGCAGACGAGCAGACGGCTCACCTGATGGTAAGTGATTACCGTCGCCCATGGACACCTGCAACACCAGAGGGGCTACAAGCGTGCTGCAGACCTTGGAGGGAAGGGTTGAGGGGTAGAGGCACAGAAATATATCTAGTTAGAAGGAAAAAGTGTACGTACTTCGCGTGCCGAAACGACGTCTAGACAGCTTCGTTGCTCGCCGCGAGGCTCAGTCTACTTTCGATTGTAATCCGAGTTCAACGTTAGGTGTGAAATTTAAAATGACGCGTTGTTCAATAATTAACTACTCAAACACCACCAGTATAGTTGGATCTTATAATCGAGGTATTTCCTTCCATCGGTAAGTAATTATTTGTTTTGATATATCCATTAAGCATTAAAAATCATTTGTTTTCTTGCTCCGTATTATTTTCGTCAAAACGATCACGTGTCCAGTAATAGCTTTCCATTACGGCTTTAATTTGACGAACCAAATTTGCCGTGCTTGTAAAACCATCGATCTATAATTCAAGGACAAATTGTTGAAGGTCAAATTCTGACAAAAATAGCGAATAGTGCTGTACAATGCGATGTTGTTTAACCGATTAAAAAAAATCGTTTCTTAAGCAGAAGAAATGATAATTTATTTTTTATATTGAATATTTGTACTGTATTTTTTTTTTAAGTTTTCCGAATGATCCATATATTAAAAAAAAATGGATTGAAGCAACAGGACGTAAAAATTGGTATCCTACAAAAAACAGTCGGATTTGTTCAATTCATTTCTATGAAGATACCTTTACTGGTCCATCAAAGTACCGACGAGTAATAAAAACAGCATATCCGACTATTGATGTTGTGATAATGACAACTGAAAAAAAGGTAAAGTATACCTTAAGATTTTTTACATTATTTCATACAAAAAGTGTAATCTACCAGCGATCCTATCGAACATGAGTCTGCCTGTTCGTCCGTATGTCACAGCCGTAATTTTCCGAATCTAATGGATAAATCAGGTGACATAAATAGATAGGATAGTATCACAGAAATATATTTAGTGACAGTGTAATATTTCTTTTGCACATCTTTGTTTAGTTACAGATTCAAACACAGTTGTGCGAGGGAATTAAATAAAAGAAGAAGTTAAATGAACAATCACACCGTTTAGCTTAGTAGTAGCTAAACGGTGTTTACTGTTAGGATTTCAAATGTGATATTTTGTATTACAGTGGATATTAATAGTGGCCTCAGCACACATTATTTTGCTTAGGCAAATTATACATGGCATCATTCTATCTATTGGTGAAAACTAGTAGTTTTTGACTTTACTGCAAATAGAAAATGAAATAGTTACTTTGTTTTATAATATTTTGTTTTATATAATTAATGAATGTAATACAATTTGTGCCGCAGATAGACCCATCTTGTTCAGATAAGGAATCAAATAATATGTACAGTAAGCTCAGGAAGAGAAAGTGTGAAATGGTAAGTATTATCATAAAATTCAGAGTATTTTTGTATTGAACATATATAGATATAAAGTATGTGATACTGTATTATTGTGACAATAAATTATTGATCCATTTAGTTTTGTAGTCATTGACGCAATCTCGATCTCAATTAATCGACTTATATTGAATTCTAAATTGAAGTCTGTGACTTTCTCATTTTTTTTCTATCGATACGTTAGTATTATCATTTTGTCTGTCAAAACTAATTATCATTTTAGCTGTCGGTTCTTACTGATAAAAATATGATATTAGGTATGCGGTATAAGTAAAATGATTTGGTCACACGAATAATGTTAGACAGAGGAATATACTTATTTCTATTCACAATGAAGACAAAGGTCCGATATTTTGATCGTCAACTACGCTGACTCCGTCACGCCACCGCACGTACTATTTTGTGCAGTTTTACTAAATTACATTCGTGACATATACATAATATTTAAGCAAAATGTTACACATTGGTCTCCGTCGTTCGATATCGGTTTTTAAATCGATAAGAATTGGTATGCTGTTTCAAATACAACATGTATTCGATTGAAGAGAAATTATGTTTTCCATCACTAAATTAAGTTCGTGACGTCATGATACCTACATAAAATGGGGCACGCTCGGTCTCCATATAAATCGACGAACATGTTCCTTCTAACTAGATCTATTTCTGTGGGTAGAGGAAAGAGAATAGGGAGGAGTTGGGCCTCCAGTACCCTCATTCACACGACGAAACACAACGCAAGCGTCGCTTCACGTCGGTTTTCTGTGAGGCCGAGGTATCACTCCGGTCGTGCCGGCCCATTCATGCCGAAGCGTGGCTCTCCCACAAAAAAAAAGTATTTTAAGCTAGCTGACTCAACAGACATAATCTTATCTTAATTACAAATATTGAATTCCGTCTATTCTATGTTAAATGTCTTAAAAGTTACATTAAAAAAAGGTTTAATTATCCAAAGCACTAAAGTAGATTAGAAATAATTTTATATGGTGGGTAAGTTTTCAAATTTTCTACATGCCTTTTTTTTATAAGGACCTTATGACAATTACAAACACAAAAAAAAAAGAATTAGAGAAATCGGTCCAGTTCTTCACATGTGATGGCGTGACCAAGGGATATAGGGAACTAAGCTAATTTTATTACCTCAACGTTTTCAAATCATCATCATTACCAGCCCTTTTTATGTCCCCACTGCAGGGGCTCAGGCCTTCCTTATGGATGGTTAAGGAGGATGGGTCATAACCCTCCACGCTGGCCCAATCCAAATTAGAGGGTATTAACGACTGCAAGTACAGCTGGGACCAACGGCTTAACGCGCCTTCCGAAGCACGGAGTAGCTCGAAATAATAATTTTTTTTGGTCACCCATCCCGTGACCGACCCTTGCCAAAGTTGCTTAACGACAACGAATGCGGGCCGCGGTGCTTATCCACTACGCCACCGAGCTACTTGTTTTCAAATTAAGATCAATATATTCGAAGATAAGTGCATGATAAAATTATAATTATTGTTCTATAATTAATTTAAAATCTTGTATCTTAACTATATTTTTTTAAATTAAATTTCTTTTATACTTACTTTCCTAAAAAAGAATTACACACTTAAACGGTCGCCTATGGGTCAGGAACTTGCATACAGATACCAAAAACCAACTCAATTGGTCCTTTAGTTTGGGAGCAATTTAGTTCTTTTTGACATAGTAAATCACAAGAAAACTTATATATTTTAATTACACTGTATATCTCCCGATTTCACTCACCATCTAATTCATCGATATTTGTAACACACTTATTTTCCGAGTTCAAACGACCAGATAGTTCTATAGGTTTTGAAATATTAGACCCATCCTGAGAATCTATATCGAACCCTGAAAAAAAAAAAAGGAACTATTATCATCTATTTTCCGAAGCACACTACCAGCTCATACAATAATAAACATTACGTACAATAATCCGGCATTACATAATTTACATATTTTGACTCGTGCACAAACATATTGCTATTGCACTCGAACAGCGGTCATTCTCTAGGGGTGCTTACTCTCTAGCCATAGAATAAGACATCTTAGTGAATTCATAATTGTTTATCATTTGTTCTCGGTTATCAAAATACATGACAAAGTAGATAAAATGCAACGGAATCGCGCTATAACATCAGTAATATGTCGTGTCCTATGGCTAGAGGAGTTAGGTAGTCGCTCTGATGATGCATTTAGTCAATTTTGACATAGGGAAATGAACATGTTTACGATATTAGGATTAGGAGGCACAAAGGTACGAAATCTTTCTTTTCGGCGGCCGGGCAATATATTTATCTCGAAAAAAAAAAGTACATGACTTAAATAAATATTAATATAATACCTATCGCATATTATATTCTTATGCACACGGATTTTATAAAAGCCTTTGATAATGTCTGTTTGACTATATTTATTAAAAGGATTCATAAAATTGGTTTTCAAGGTATCGCTATTAATATTTATATATTCTAGTCAATATTTAAATATCTCTAAAACAGAAATCAAATAGATGTAGTTGAAATTTAAAGTATTGAAGAGCAACAATGTTATACATGCAGTCATGCGAGGAACTGTATTTGGCCCGATATTTCTTTAGATTACATAATTAATTTAGTTAGTAGTTAATATTTTCGGATGAATTTTCTGTTACACGGATTCTGTTTTGTTTTTAGGCTGTTTTTAAAGGCGAAATTAATCTATTATAAATTAAGTCTTACCGAAGCATTTATTTCTCAACACATTTTTGACTCCTTATAAATAAGAAGCAAATTTCAATACATTTTATTTAGTCAACTGTCAAAACGGCTTTTATATAAAAAGTTCCCTGACTCATGACTTACCGGCGAAAGGTTCCTCTTTGTCAATATCCAGTAAATCTATTTCCAGATCTTGAGAGAAATCCAAAGGTTCCTGCTTTATAACTACCATAGGTTTTGTGTTGCTGTAAATAAAAAAACATTATTTTACATCAACTCAGTTGTTTCAAACTGAATTGTTGCAATAGGCTTGTGTCCTACAAGTGAAAATACGGGTTTTTGTTATATCTTCGACAAATATGAACCATTTTAACTTATAAATGTTTAACAAAACAAATTTTAAGTCAATGATTTGGAAAATATTATGCTTTGAAAACTTGAAAAAAGTAGAAAAATCTACTACATTTTGCTAAAATACATAAGGCATTAAATTAGATATAAAAAATGTTACAACTTTCATTATAACAGCTATTAACATAAACGCACAAATAACAAAGATATTACAAAAAATGTCCAGACGGCCATACATTTTTCGCTACTGTAGCTGTACAGGGATTCAAAAATTTTGATTCGGAGGCATTATATACAAATAATTATATTCCACTGTTATAATTGTCATCATCTGTATGAGGATATTCAAGCTACCAGTTTTCTCACGACTTGGCCTGCACAAATTTTCGTCTACATCCCCGCATATGATGTAGCCATAGATGAAAGATTTTTTGAAATCGATCCCGTAAGTACGGACGACTTGGCCTGCATAAATCATCTCCGCATATGATGTAGCGATAGATGAAAGATTTTTTGGAATCAGTAGGTCAGGGACAAATACTAAAAAAAATTTTCTTTTTTGTAAATAATAGTATAGATAATTAGGTACTTACGATTTCAACATAATACCGTGGGTATTCCGAAAATGTAAAGTTAAATTGCATTTTCTCTTAAATGTTTTCTTACATAGATGACATTGCTTGTCCTGTAGAAGTAACAGATGATGTATAAAAAGCTAAATATTTTTCATATTAGCGTAATTTTATACAATAACTAGCTTTCCGCCAGCGGCTTCGCCTGCGTGGTCCCTAGGGAAATATTTAATGGGATAAAAAGTAAGTTATCCGTATACCAAATCCCATCAAATTCCATTCATAGTTGTAGTGACAAACATCCAAATTGTCACCTTTATAATATTAGTAATATATAATCGATTCATATCGTGACACGGATATAATTACAATGACAAATTGAATTGGAAACAATGGTTACTATGGTAACCTTTCAATTTCCTATACTCACATTTTCATCTCTTTATTTGGAAAATATATCCTATGTCCACCTCATATGTTCGTTGCAAACAAACAATCTAATCTAAGATTTTTCGAAACATCATATCTGGCGCCCGTCTTCTAATCCCCTCCCCCCTTTTACATTAGTATTTTGCAGTGTATGATTTTTTTCTTTTAATTCACATACGGATTTTGAAGCACATCTGTGTTATCGTAGCCTACAAATGTGTATGAAAAGAATTGTGAAGCTTGTTCATTTTATTTTTAACCGTAAGTAGGTATCCCCCCCCCCTAGCGGCGTAGTACTGCCATCTACGCCAAGATTAGCATTATATACCATATTATTAATATAAATTCGCTCACCATGTCCTTATGTACATAGCGTATGTGTACCACAAGACCTGGTTTGTTGCTAGCCTCGAATCCGCATACGTCACATATGTATTTCTCCCTTTTATTACCGTGAATTGTGCGCAAATGTTTCAATAAATAGTTCTTGTTGTAGAAACTAAAATTGAGATAAATCTGGCAAGTAAATTATAGTCTTTAATGTATCTTCCTGTAGTTGAAAGAATTTTAAAATCTGCACTGTCTAGGAGCCTAATCCATGCAAACAAACAAACCAACAGAGAGTAAATAATCAAAATATAACGGGGGTTCAGTATTCTTCACGTTTACAATGTTATGTCTCAAGAACAATGACTCAAACCAACGAGGCACTTGCTCTCCGGGCAAATACTCTTCCAACTGGTCTCCAAAAAGTAGTTACTTGCAACTGAGCTAGTTGCAAAACATTTAGCTAGACAATGAGGCGTCGTCGGTTCGAATCCGGCCTGGTAATAAATTTTAATAGAAACCGCCAAGAATACAAAACACTAAGAATACAGAACGGGAATTAATATTCTTCACATTGTGTGCATATAAAATAATATCTGTTATTGAAACTTTGAATTTTTTAATTGAATTTTAAGTTCAGGAACAACCTAGCTATTTTCATGAAATTTTGAGACCGCTATTTGACCCCATTAGAGATTTGAATTTATCAAAATTATTAATTACTTCAAATATCTTTACGTCATAATAACCATTAGTGTGTAGTTCGAGCTGTACTTTTGAGACTAGTCAGTAAGTTAATCACATTTGTCTTTATATATAATCTTGTACATAATACAAATATTTTTTTAGTAGAAACCGCCAAGAATACAAAACACTAAGAATAAAAAACACTGAGAATACAAAATACTAAGAATAAAAAACATTGAGAATACTCACGGCACCCCGCAGAATGGGCATTTGGTATCCTTCACTTTGGGCACATGTTGGGCCAAATGTTTCACTAATCTATGTTTCCTCGCGAAGCCTCTACCGCATTCATTACAATATACTTGTTGTTCCGGGTAGTGGATGCGAGTATGTTTCTTTAAAGCGTACTGTTGGTAAAATTTTAAAATATATTAATATAGCGTTACGGTGCGACGTGTACTGTGATCTAGTATGATCGTTGCGTACTGAAATTTCATCCACGCCTGGCTAGATGGCGTTCGATCGTCGTTTGAATCGCGCCAACAAAGATGTCCACGTATATATTGTTATATAAATTTGACTAGCTGTTTTACCGCGACTTCGCCGGCGTAAATTAGCCTATGAGTCGGCGTATGATGTAGCTTCCTGTGGGTGAAAGATTTGTAAAATCGGGCCAGACATTTCTAAGTAAATTCGATGCAAACAAACAATCTTCCCTTCCTGTCTAAGATGTAACGCAAATTTCGTGAATATCTTTCAAATGCCAAATTGAAAGGCATAACGATAGGTTTTAAAATTAGACAATTAGATCTCAGAGCAAACTAAAAAATCAAACTATGAATTTTCAGATTCATTACTTTCAACCAAAGAAAATTCTCCGTAAATAACAAGACATTTCCGCTAGCGACTGTACCCGTACAATAAAGCTATAAGAGCGCGTTACTCGCGCGACGACTGAAGCGTCTCCGTCACACAAATGTGAGCTGTGTTCACGCTCACGCACAGATGACTTCAACTATTTTATTTATTTATTTGGACCACCAGTAAAAAATTACAATAAACTGTACATTCAAGATAATACCAGTAATGCATAAAAAATTGCAAAATTCTGTTGAAATTAGGGTACAAAAGTAAAAGTATTATACAATCAACAATTTAAAAGACACAAAATTAACAGTAGTAAAAATATCTAAAAAAAAAAACAAAAAGCACTATCTTTAGAAATAAGATGATAAAAATAAAGATGGTAAGATTTTTGAAGTTATAACATGACACTCACTTTATCCTTGAATTTTATAGTACATCCTGGAAAGAAGCACTTGTAAGGTCTTATATCTAAATGTGATGTCATATGAGATCTCAAATTAGAGCTATTCGACAGATGTTTCCCACATATTCCACAAACGCAAGCCTTACTTTTATCGTGGATGGCTCTCTGAAAAGAAATATGAACTGTGACGTCACAACACATAACATTAAATACCGTCCATTAACGAGAAACATTAAAAATATGACTTCGACTGAAATTCTTATTGCGGGTTGGCTTCTTAGATTTCAAATGTTCCACAGAACCATACCCTGACTGCTGAACTGAACCATGGGAATTTTGCTTCATCATCATCAGCCCTTTTACTTCCCCACTGCAGAGGCTCAGGCGTTCCTTATGGATGGTTAAGGAGGATGGGACATGACCCTCCACGCTGGCCCAATGCGGATTGGAGGGTATTAACGACTGAAAATGCAGCCGGGACCAACGGCTTAACGTGCTTTCCGAAGCACGGAGTAGCTCTAGTAATAAATTTTTGGTCACCCATCCCGTGACCGACCTATGCGAAAGTTGCTTAACGACAACGATCGCGGGCCGCGGCGCTTATCCACTACGCCAGCGAGTGACTCGAATTGCTTAGCCAAGCCAAAATATAAGTTGTTTATTTTTTAGTTCGGCCTTTCAGTCGTGTTATATTTTTATATCTTTTAGTGGACAGTTAATTATGTATATATCGTAGACATGTGGTATATAATCAGCTATCCGACCAATTGGGGAGCTAAGCTAGGCCCTTTAATTGAACGGCGCCATTCAATTAACGGGTCGAATTTCGATCAGCCGAATACTGAAAATTATTGGTAGAATTAGAAGTAAACAAATACATACTTATTGTACTGAATGGATGATTTCATTTAATACTCAAAAACTGCTTGTTACGATCTGTAATCGATACAGAGACACGAACGATCAAAAAGATAATAACAAGCAAACTGCTCATTTGCGACTGGGACATATGTAATTTTGGAATGTTGCTATAGTTAAATAGATATTTGTCACATTTTTATTTATTTATTTATTTAATCTTAATTGCCTAGCGAAATAGACAAAATGGCGGACTTAATGCAAAAGAGGCATTCTCTAACAGTCAATCAGTAAATTTAGTACAAGAATTTAAATACCCTATTGATATCTCTCCATAAGGACTATATCTAAATATATATAAAAATACATACAACAATAGATATACATACACATACATAAATAAATGCATATATATAACTATAACACAAAGTACGAAACGCAATCTGGTGTCAGATCAAGAAATCTTGTTTGAAGCTTGGTAGAAGGTGCGAGCTGCTGTCTTGAATGCAAATTTGTTAGGAGCACTTCGGACGTTCAAAGGAAGTGCATTCCAAAGACGGGAATTAAATTACGTTTCTGATGATACCCTCATATCTCAGTTCAAGTTCTGTTTCATTGTCATCATCATCCTCACCATATTAATGTCCCCATTGCGGGAGCACCAGGTCTTTTGTATGGACGGAATTGAAATTTAAAGCGTTTACGTAGTTACAACCGGGACCAACGGTATAAAGTGCCTTCTGAAGCACTTTTCGTCACCCATCCTATGACCGGCCATTGCTAAAGGCCTTGAACAATAGTATCGTAGATCGAGACTACGCCATCAAACTCCTCAAGTTCTTTTTGGTCTAATTCAATTAAAAATACCTAGTTCAGTGAGCTACGAAGTCAAACAAATGGTCCTTCGAGCCGGATTGGTTTGGACCGTGAATGTACTTACAATGTGTGTCATCAAAGTCCATTTGTTTTTGTATATAGAACCACATATGTTACATGTCACCTTGGGAGGTTCTATTCCCCTATGGGCCCGTTTAATGTGGTCCTGTAACCGGGCTTTAGTATCATATCTGAAACAAGCAATCTATAGTAATATTATAGAGAGGAAAAGAGGGGGAAAGAGAGAAGAGAAATAGGGAGAAAATCACTCAAACCCCATATTGATTTAAAATGTCATATCTCTAGTCATGTACTTTGACGTCACGACAAGAGCGCCAAAAATTCCGGTGTTTAAATTGCTGGTAGCTATTACTTACTTTCATCAATTATTAATGTTACTAAATTTTAGTTTTTCGGTGTCGGATATTTTTTTACAGTTATACATCGATGTAAATTATCATATAAAAACATTTTCCAAAAATATGCATATTCCCTATTACGGCGATACATTGAGTTAAAATATCACACGACGTCACGCTTTTGTACGTTTTCTAAATGAATACATGTATATTAAAAAAAAAAGAGTTTCATGTATTAATAAGTACTACATATAAAAGAAAACCCAGAAACGGATATGTGATTATTTTATAAGTAATTTTGGTAAAACATACATACGAACTGTTTTTATATTATTTTTTTTTTGTTATAGGTTTTCATTTACACCATCAATTTACCGATTAATCAAGCCTAATCAGCCGTTTCATTTACTTCCAGCACGTAAGCCCCGGACACGTCACAATATTTCTCTAAAATAAAGATGTCAATCATCCTCACCTGTTCGAGCACTCTTGACATGGATATTTCTTGGAGATGCCCAAATGTACGCTCTGATGTTTCCTAAGAGACGAGCTGTCGCGACAAGCGTGATCGCAGAACGAACACTTGAACGGTTTTTCATCTGAAAGCAATAGTTTTATATCGAGTCAAAATAATCTTTATTCAAATAGACTTCTTATAAGTACTTTTGAATCGTCCAACATTTTTTTCCTACCACTCGTTCAGGATGTCTTTTGGCTGACAAGAAAAATGAGCAAGAAACTCACCAGATCTAACAGGAGGAATCAGTTTGTAGTTTGTCTCAGGCAGATATATTTTATCGGTGTCATTCCAGCGATTTGTTTAGGTCTCAAAGTTCCAGTGTTTTGCCTAGGGGGCGCCAAGTTCCAGTGGTATGTTGAGGACGCCATGTTAAAGCGTTTAGCATAGGGCGCTAAGTTCTAGTGTTTTATCTAGGGCGCCAAGTTTTAGTGGTTTGCTTAGGGCACCAAAATTCAGTGTTTTGCCTAGGGCACCAAGTTCCAGTAGTTTGCCTAGGGCGCCAAGCTGCAGAAGTCTGACTAGGGCGACAAGTTCCAGTGGTTTTGCCTAGGGCGCCAAAGTCCAGTGTTTTTCCTAGGGCGCCAAATTTTAGTGTTTTGCCTTAAGGCGCCAAATTTTTTGCCTAGGGTGCCAAGTTCCACTGTTTAGCCTAATGCGTCAAATTCCAGTGTTTTGCCTTTTTTAATTTATTGTAAGAAAAAAGCTTATAGCACACCCTGCGAGCGACGAGGCTATGTGGGACTCCACTCTAGGCTTACCCATCAAAAGCCCTACAGTGTAATCTCACGTGGGGGGATGAGACCCGGGAAGACTCAACCGAGTCTCCCATCCTCAATAATGGGATTCCATTGTTTTGCCTAGGGCGCCAATTTCCAGCGTTTTGCCAAGTTTCATTGAGCCGACGCTGATAGATGTGCAAAACAATTCAAAATCGTGTATTCAGTCTGGGCTGTTACATAGCATTTATGAATGTCAAAAACTACGCGAAAGGTTCGCAAAACTACGGCGGTATACCTTGTACTGAGAAGAACCGGCAATGGCTTAATCATCAAATTAGCTCCATTACATATCGACACTGGAAAGCAAACACGTAGCAACCCAGAAAACCAAAATTGTTCTTCAGAGCAGAAAAACTTTTATTTTTTTCTATAAATAATTCCTATAAACGTCCATGGTAACAAATAAAGTGTTCCTTGGTCAATTTAAACGGAAAGAAGATATTTTTTTGAAAAATATAATGAATGAATGAATGATATTTATTTGTAAGAAGGTGGTCACATAAACGATGTTAATTATCAAAAAAAGCACACACATTCTGCCGACTTGATCAGGGTACAGATATTTTAATATAAAGTTTTTCCACTCTAAATATCCATTTTGGTTTTGCAGTTTACTACGTGTTTGCTTTAGAGTAGCGCGGTGGTGTAGTGGATAAGCGCCGCGGCCCGCGATCGTAGTCGTTAAGTAACTTTCGCTATGGTCGGTCACGGGATGGGCGACCTAAAAATTATTATCTCGAGCTACCCCGTGTTTCGGAAGGCACGTTAAGCCGTTGCTCCCGGCTGCATTTGCAGTCGTTAATACCCTCCAATCCGCATTGGGCCAGCGTGGAGGGTCACGGCCCATCCTCCTTAACCATCCATAAGGAAGGCCTGAGCCCCTGCAGTGGGGACGTAAAAGGGCTGGTGATGGTGACGTGTTCGCTTTTCAGCGTCGATATATACATTGCATCATCATCCAAACATTAAAAATAACGGAGCAAGTTAAATGAAAACTTGCAATAAATACTATCAAGTGGAAATTATGAATATTACCGTAATTTATGATTGTTACGCTCAATTACATTCGGTTACGTTTTGTAAAAAAAAAAATATGCGATATTCTCCATTTGCTACTAAAATGGACTGAGTGACATCAGAAATGCTTATATTAACTGTTGTTATAATAATAATTAGTAAAACTGGTAAGTTAATGGAATAGGAGTGATTTATATTTAAACGGGCCCCCTCCACGTTTGCCCAATACGGATTGGGGGGCGTGAACGACTGCAAATGTAGCCTGGACCAACTGAGCTACCGAAGCACGGAGTAGCTCGAAATATTTTCGGTCACCCATCCCACGACAGGCCCTTGCGAAAGTTGCTTAACAACAACGATCACGGGACGCGGCGTTTGTCCACTACGCCAACGAGTTTTTGATGTTTGCACTGAATATATTTCGAATATACTGGACCGATTTCAATTATTCTTTCACCTACGAGAAACTACATCGTACGCGGGTGACAGAGGCTGTAAATTAATGAGTGAAGTCGCGGGAAAACGGCAGGTATTAATATTAAAATTTATTTAAATTAAGAGAACTACTCTATTCTTAAAGAAAAATGCTTAAATGTCCACTTTGCCCCCGGCAGTGTTCTGGGGTCACAAAAATGTCTATGGTTCAATGATAAAAAACAAATATATTCATTCTCTCTGCTCAATCGTTGTTTCATTAGAAAAAACTAAGATATCAATACAAGTATGAAAAACTGCAAATAGAATATAATAGTTGTTTATTGAGTTTTGAAAATTAATTTACTTTTATACATGAAAGAAAACCGGCCGGCTTATCATGAAGAAATCAAAAAAGTACCGTAGCGACATCTAGTTTGATTTAGGGAACTATTTTTATTAAGTACTTCACATTCATAGAATCGTAGTACCGTAGCGACATCTAGTTTGATTTAGGGAACTCTTTTTTTTTAATACTTTACATTCCTAGAATCGTATTATTTATTTCATTTATAATGGGCTCATTCTTAACCCCGATCTAGCCCGAGGATATAATAAGTCTGGGTTATATGCACTCGGGAATACGCGTTTAAGTATGAATGCACTTTAAAAATAATATCGACAATGATTAAATTTCAGAGAGTAGAGTGTTCTGTGAAGACACTAATGCGGCACCTTGGATGACGCTAGGTTATGGGTGCCCGATAAATTGTCATAATATCCTGAATGCAATAAACAAGTAAGCTATTACATATTATAATAACGGGTATCAGAAGAGATTTCGGCCGAAACGTCGGCGCAGGCGCATAATGGAGCGCGATAGTTTAAAAGTGAAGTTAGATATTATTGATTCATCATCATCATCAGCCCTTTTACGTCCCCACTGCTGGGGCTCAGGCCTTCCTTATAGATGGTTAAGGAGGATGGGTCATGGCCCTCCACGCTGGCCCAATGCAGATTAACGACTGCAAATTCAGCCGGGACCAACGGCTTAACGTGCCGAAGCACGGAGCAGGTCGAGATAATAATTTTTCGGTCACCCATCCCGTGACCGACCCTTGCGAAAGTTGCTTAACGACAATGATCGCGGGCCGCGGCGCTTATCCACTACGCCACTAATAATTATTATGGATTAGAAAAAAAAAATTAATGTTAATTATATGAGGAAACTATGTATTAAACACTTTGTATATTTCTTTAATAAAGAGAATCTACTCATTTCAACACAATATATACAATTGAGAATCTACTCCTTTGAGAATATATCCATCTGAGAATCTGTTGATTTGTTTAATTATGTACAGTCGATGATACCTTCGTTAAAGAACTGAATTGAATCCTATTTTATACAATAGAAATAAGGTTTGATTGTCATTAGAGTTTTAAGGATCGTAATGCTTCGCTTTGTTATATAACGACTAAGTATATGTTCAACCTATGTCCTACAGACTTCGAAAGTTGTATTTATTATTGTGATAATACATATTATTTTGGTAATGAGATGATTTATGTAAATGTCAATACTTATGATAAAGAGCTGGTAAGTTTCTTTCGCTTGTTCTTCTTGTCAGCTAAAAGGCGTCCTGAACAAGTGGTAGGGGAAAATTTTTATATAGAGGGAATTTTTTTTGGACGATTCAAAAGTGCTTGTAATAGCCTACTTGAATAAAGATATTTTCATTTCATTTCAAAGATATTTTCATTTCATTATATGTTATTTAAGAATTTGCTCATTTAAACATCTGTCCACTTTCCAGTTGGCCATTTGAGAAGTTGTCTAGTAGACAATCTGTTCAATTGAGTATATTTCCGTTTAGAATCTGCTCAAATGGATATTTGTACAATAGGGATGACGACTGGGTAAAAAAATGCAATTCTATCTAGTCCGTCAGTCAGATAATAGAAAAATATTAGAGACGTATTTTTTTTTACTTCAATTTAACAAGAAATAGCTTAGATAACAGGCATTAAAGTTGAGGAGTGGGGGCTCGCTACGTCACAGTTGAGTAGAAAACGTACCATAACGTGACGTCATGCGAAATTTCAATTCCATGTACCGCCGTAATTTTATGATTACGAAAAAAATTAAAAAATACGTGTTTAATATTTTTTAACACTCTACCTGACGGACAAACAAACAAAAATTAGTTGTCATCCCTATTTTTAGAATCTAATAATCGTTTATTGTCACATAGACATAGTTCCATGTTGGCTTGGGAGTAAAAAATAAATTTAGAAAATGCTAACCCCATCTCAGCACTGAGGAAATGGATTGGCCAACTCGTTCAGACTACCTAACGTTCAAGGTTTCAACAAAACTATTATGAGAATAAAATGTTCTGCACTGCTGCTTCTGTGATCCTCTTTTTATGTTATAATGAATGGAGTATAGATATATTACAAAAAAAAAAAGAAACATGTTTTACATTAAGCTAGGTACCAAATGAGCCATCAGCTAAGCATAATGTTAGACACAAGAGTACCTAACGCTGATTTCCATTTTTTTTTTTTCATTTCACAAGGTCAAGGTCGAATATCAAAATAATAATCATTAATTAATAAGAATAGCAATAGTTCATTTTATGGAAAAAATAAATAATAATTATTAATTGTAAAATATATAATCAGCAAGTGATATCTAACTAACAATACAGTCTTCACTCAGATTGCTAGCGATATGAAAAAGATACGGCATAAACATTTGGTAGTGCAGCATACAATCTTACGTGTTGAAACGCATTTTTTTTTTATATAAATCATGTAATTTAGAATCTGGCCATTCGATAACGTGTTCAGGTGTAAATCTTTA